ATGGTGTTCTCCAAGAGAAAACTCCGACATAAATGGAAAATTAATAACCAACCTATTGAGCAAGTAACATCTTTTAGATATCTTGGAATAATTTTGATGAGAAGGGATCTTGGTGCCATCAGATTAGAATTCCATTGTAAATGCCGCAAAGATCTTTCCAGAGCTTATCATAAGATTGCTTTTTGACAGAAGAAAAGGAGGTCAATATGTTCCTGCTGCCTCCCAGGTCTTTGTTGCCAAAAATACTTGCCCACATTGGAATGTGAATTGGCACCCAGATATTTTAATTGTCAAACATCAAGTTCACCTGGAATCTGTACAAAACTAAATTTTATCGTTCCCTACTAGGTTACCTACCTGTGTCTCTAACACTGCCATTAGGCTGGAGGTAGGTCAACTCCTATTAATGCCAGGATATGGATCCTGAAGATTCCTTCTGGCTAAAACTCATATTTTTCCCAGTGGGAGTGGCTCCATTGACTCTACTAGACCCGTTCCAGTCTAAATGGAGATTGTCGCTTTATGAAAAATTGAGGGGCCTGGGGCTTTCCCCACAAGAAACTCATAGCCTCAGGTTTTGAAAAGGCTAAATGATGGTGAGCCCAGCGAATAGGAGATGTAGAGCTTCAGGACCATATGAGCAAGATAGATAAATACCCCAGCTATCCAAGATTATGGAAAAGGGTTTAATCTAACCCCATATTTGCTGGACCTTACAAATCGGCAAAATATAGGCGGGCGTTTACCCTTACCAGATTTGATGTATTGCCATCTGCCTTACTAAAGGGCAGATACGAGGGCACACCCTATGCTGAACGAGTTTGCCCATGTGGTCTGAAGGAGGTGGAAACGGCTTCACATGTGTTGTTACACTGCGATCTTTACGGGGATATTCAGGTTACTGTTTATCTCCCCTATCGTTTCAGAAATTTCCAGGTCGATCTGAATCTCAGCGGCTGAAAATCCTACTAGGAGATAAAAACCCAGAAGTAAACACTGAAAAGTGGCCAAGTTTTTCTGCGGCCGCGATCAAGCGGAGGGCATTAGCTGTAAAAAGTAAAAGATCTGAGCCCCTGGATAAGCCCCCCCTTTTTTTAAGCCCATACATATACTGTAGTGCATATATGAGTATGTATATGTGTGTGGGGGTGGTGTGTATACGTGTATTGTTTTATGTATAATTTTACAACTTTAATTGACACCATCATTCCCTCGTAAATTACTGCTGCCTTTTATGTTTTTTTTCTTTCTTCTGGTCTATGACCGTAAAAATTCATTCATTCATTCATTCATTCATTCAGTGGCTGTGGATCCAGATCAGGTCAGGGGAAGCTGCCTTGTGGGGACAGAGGTCAAGGGGTGGAAACAATGTCATTAGATCAAGACGTCGTGGTGAACCAATATTGTTGTCTCATAGGAGGACATTTCACTTTTTCTTTTAGGGTCCAGTGTGCTTTGAAGATGTTGCTGTTCGTTTCACAGATGAGGAGTGGGAGTTGCTGGATCCTGACCAGAAGAGCTCTGCATAAGATGTCATGGAGGAGAATCATGGGATCGTGGCCACTCTTGTAAGGATCCCTTTGGAATCATTAATATCTGTTTTTAAATTCAAAACAGCTCTCTGTGATGAACCTCATATATTTTCACAGAACTCAACAATGCCCCCTTAAGACTCCTGGGATTACAATATTGCAGCTTCTAAACAAGGCATCTGTCTGGTCTGAACTCCCAGGCCATTTTAACTGTAATCTTCAGATTTGTTAGGGAAGTTGAAGTAGCTTATCGAATCACAGGTTCCCCTAAGGATGTCGGTTGATCCCCGTTAATTAATGCACCCAACCCATCAGAAAACCACCCATCATGGGGTTCACCGTGGGCGGCAGGAGGAGGTAGATGGTGGAAAACGCAACCGCCCGGGAGAGTTGCCAGCACCCCAGGCACTCCGAGGGCCTTTCTCCGGAGGTCACTCTCTGGCTAAAAACCAGCACTAGTCCAGAGAGACCGGTGATAAGCGATCCCTCCCTTCTGAGAGGAACCCCTAACAATCTTCTGGCAATCCATCACAGAAGAAAGAAGACAGTCCGTAGTCTTTCCAGCTACTTTATTTGACTGTACAAATCATGTCTGCTCGCCTTGAGCAGTACAGCATGAGAGTCAGCGACTCGGCTTTGCTTCAGTCCCAGAAGCGGAAGGCACACACCAGTAACTCCACCCCGGTTACTCTGAGAACTGACTCGGACTTCCTGTCTCACGCTCAGTCACATCACATGATGTAAACAATGTAGCTACTTCCTCGCAGCTGGTGGGAACTAAAATCCCAACAGTAGAGGCAGGCCAGCAGGATGTTGGGGTAGTTGCCGTTAGGCAGGTGCGGGCGACCAGGCAAATGACATTTATACGTGCCAGCCTGTTCTTCTCATCTGTGTGCCGCTCCTGGGATCCATCAATCTTCTTCCCTGACGAGATTCTGTGACTCATGTCCAGAGACACTGAGCAACAATTAGCAGAGAAACAGCATCAGCAGAAGCCAGGGCTCTGGGGTGAGAGTACTAAGCTACTTTATTTATATACACAATCAGGACAAAGGAAAACATGGCTCCTCTCCTTCTTGCTTTCGGAGAGGAGAGAACAAAAAAACAATACAGAACGGAACTTTCCGTTCACAAGACTCCAACAATTAGTGCTGGAATGTAAAACACAGACGTGATTATAACAATCTCACACATCTGCACAGCGGGGAATGGGAATTACCAACCATCCCCCCTTTCATGTACCCACTGCTGCAATCCTTCAAACAACTGCAACCGCCATACATATTCATCAAGCTGTTCTCTGGACAACTTGTGACAACAGATCTACAGGGAATCTCTTTTCCTGACATGTAGGACATCTGAATGGTCCCTTCTGGATACATTCCCTTGCACAATGTAATTTAATCTCAAAGTACTTGGTTCTTGCTTACATCCCCTCAGACCATTAGCAAAGACAAACATGACCTGTTGTCTTGATAAACCTGTACAGGACATCTCACATCAATCTTCATGTCTTCACACAACTGCAACAACATTCACAATCCCAAAAGTGAATATGAGTGCAATTAGTGCCTTAAGTTCAGCTTCACAGGAACTTAAACTCACTGTTGTTTGCTTCTTGCACGACCCAAACAGACACAGGTTGTACATGTAGCATACTCCAGAAGTGCTCTTGCCATCCATGGTGTCACTTCCAAACTTGCATCTGCAAATATCTCAAGACCTCCAGAATCCTGATTAGTGAATCTCAGTCTGTAGTGCATAGTCCCTTTCAGGTAACGTGCTATGTGTTTCAGTGCTTTCCAGTCCTTAACTGTAGGATTGTTAACATGTCTGCTCAGCAAAGACACAAGACACAAGTATCATATATACTACCAAGTATAAATATATACTACCAAGATGATTGTCAGCTACGTCCCTCGCTGACAGGAAGTGGGAACGCTGGCAGACAGGGGGAACAGATTAGGCAGCTCAAAGCAAGTGAATCAGAACACAGAAAGACAGGCAGTAGCCTCTCCAAAAACTTGTAGGCTCTTGAGACTTTGCAAGAGGCCCAAAAAGGAAAGGAAAGGACAGTGGGGGTTTTCCTGCTGGGGGAAAAGGGGGTGAAGCTCAGTCCCAGCAACTGCTTCCTTGAGGAATGATGCTGGAGTAGCTGAGCTCCGTCATGTTTTGGTTTGTTTGAGCAATAAATCTGAAATAATTGACTGGCGGAGTTGTCTCGCGTCTGTGGGAAGAGACCCAAGCCATGACCAATGATATCCTTTTGTCAATGAATGTCAGGAGTGGAGAACCCTCTCTCCCCTGGCAGCATCAAAGACAAGAAGAACAAGCAAGTTTGTATCAGTCTTCTGGTTGCAAGACAAAGAATCCAGGTCTCCACGCAAAGGAGATGTTGCCTGCTCTGAAGACCACCTCTTCCATTTTTTTTAAAAAGATATTTATTAAAGTTTCCAAGTTAATACAATAAAAAAGATAACAAAAATAACAAAAAAATACAAAAATACAAAAAAGTTTAAAAACACATAAAGTTCACCATACTTATTTTTCATTAACATATTTCCCCGACCTCCTCAAACCTCCCTTCCTTATATTCCAGTTCAAATTGTTCACTCAGCAAATTATTAATTCCCAAAGTTGATTTTGCTTATTCCCAAATCTTATTTTCATCTCTAAAACATTACAGCTGGAAACCACTTAATTTCTATCCAACATCATTCTAACATTCCTTAATTTACAATATTTCTGAAGATAATCTTTGAATTCTTCCAGTCTTCTTCCGCCGACTCTTTTCCCTGGTCTCGGATTCTGCCGGTCATTTCTGCCAGTCCATATAGTCTATCACCTTCATCTGGCCATTCTTCCCAGAGTGGGTAAATCTTGTGTCTTCCAGTGCTTTGCAATGAGTATTCTTGCTGCTGTTGTAGCATACATAAAAACGTTCTGTCTTTCTTTAACACCAGTTGGCCGACAATGCCAAGGAGAAAGGTCTCTGGTTTCTTCATAAAGGTATATTTAAATACCTTTTTCATTTCATTATAGATCATTTCCCAGAAAGCCTTAATCCTTGGGCACGTCCACCAAAGGTGAAAGAATGTACCCTCAGTTTCTTTACATTTCCAACATTTATTATCGGGCAAATGATAGATTTTTGCTATCTTGACTGGGGTCATGTACCACCTGTAAATCATTTTCATAATATTCTCTCTTAAAGCATTACATGCCGTAAATTTCATACCTGTGGTCCACAACTGTTCCCAGTCAGCAAACATAATGTTATGTCCAACATCTTGTGCCCATTTAATCATAGCTGACTTCACCGTTTCATCCTGAGTGTTCCATTTCAGCAGCAAGTTATACATCTTTGACAAATCTTAGTTTTGGGTTGGGTTTTGTCTCTAATTTTGATTTTTCCACCTGGAAGCCAATTTTCCTGTCCGAATTATATGTCTCCATTATCTGATAATAATGAAGCCAATCTCGCACTTTGTTTTTTAGTTTCTCAAAACTCTGCAGTTTCAATCTGTCTCCTTGAAGACCACCTCTTCCATCCCCAACAACATCCTGAGGACCTACAGAAGGTCCCAGGAATCACACTCCTCTACATTCTCTGTTCCTGAAGGCGGAGTGACTGACGAGCCCTTGGAGAAGGAGGATCTCCCAAACTTTCCAGGGAGGTCTCTGCAGGCTGCTCCCTCACTCCCCCTCCTCCTCCACTATCTTGTAACTAGGCATTTCTTCCTTCAGCTACAATTCAGCTCTGTCTTCTTCTCCTCTTGAAACTGCTGGAGACAAGGGGGCAAACCTCCCCACCCTCCCTCCTCTTATGAGAGGAGCCGAGCAGACCGAGTGGACACTTCCCAGTCTTCCTGTTCAGTTTATTCCCTGAAAATAAAAATATCAGTTCTCCTTGGCTTGGTATGCAGGACAGATTGAAGCGACCACAGCCACTTCCAGCCATCAATCATGCAAGACATGACAGGAGAGGTCCCCGGCTAGACTCCTGGGGTGCTAGTCCTCAACATAGACCAAGCTATTCACACCTTGTAATTCGCCCCATTCTCACTGCTTGGCATGCATGGTTGTCCTTATGTGCCTTGTAAGGTAGCGACCATGGAGATCAGATGGGGCAATGGGGCATCAACACACAGAGTAAGGAAACAAATACTGGTATACATTGCAAATAAAGACATTAAACAGAAAACAGGCTATGACTGGACCCTTCCATTCTTTATTTTCGTAGCCATCTATGTTTGAGCTTGCAGATTAAGGTCTTTTCAATGTGTGTTTGAGGGTTGGTACCAGAGAGTCCCATACTCTAGGTGGCAGGGTGTGGATTGTGCATTAAAACCGTGGGGTGATCTCTTGGTTTTGGTTTTGTGTAGTGATCATGGGATCCAGTTACGTTCATCTTAAGGTGTCTTCTTAGAGCCAAGTATCATTAGGCACCTTCTTACAAATATAGTGTATTTGTAGATCACATTCGAATGCCATCCAGCATTTTTCATAGTAGCACTCATAGGACACTGCACCACAGTCATGGTTCGCTTCATAATTTGGCTCATAGTAATTCCAGTAGCTGAAAAGAAAAGAAAAGCAGGACTGATCAATCAAGATTGGATGTCTACTTCCTCACTTACTCCCCATGTCTTCTACCATTAAAAAGATGTTCAGCTCTTTCTCTCTTCACATCCACCCACAACCGTGATGGATTTTTCTCCCCAGATTTTAGAGTTCTAACCATGTAAAAGAACAAAAAAAACCACAACTGTGGGTCAAGACTATTTTCTTCTGATATGAAGTGATTCCTCATAGGAAACTACAAAAAAATGAGGGTGTCACTGTGGAAAGCTCAGTGGTACACACAAGAACTTGCAGTCAATTTATTTAACAATTTTGTGTAGTATCCCATGCAGTACTTCTGCTATTGCCAGGATTTCCATTTCTGCAACAGAACTGCCCCTCTCTCCTCTCCATATGCAACCACATCCTCCTCAGATCTGCTGTGGACCATTTTGGGTGTTGAGAGATCCTTACTCTCTCGTAGCAAAGTTAGCACAGTAGTGATTGTTCTGAGCAAATAAAAACTTTGTTAGATTTGCATCTGCCATAATCCACCTCCTCTCACATCTATCACTCACCTTATGCACAAGGATGGCAATGACACTATACAGAAACAAAAATAGCTAACTCTACAACTGAAATACAAAATATAATCTATAACCACAAAGCTATTATAGAGATGGTTGGAATGATTGATTTCTCTCTCATATATATATATATATATATATGCAGGTTTTGGTGTCCTCGGGTGTCTTCCCGTGTAAAAGTTGGGGTGTCTAGGCGACGTTTCGACGAGGTCTCACTCGTCATCTTCAGGCTGGTGCTTTCGGCTTCTTGTTACTGGAACAGAGCAGGATCTCAGTGTTTGAGTTCCTATAAATACTGTTGAGGGGGTGTGGTGTATAGCCTCCAATGAATCTATTCAATTGATATTAGTAATAATGGTGTAGTAGGTGTTCTTTTACTCCCATGAGATGTTTGGGTTGTGTCAGGGAATTGCAGGCAGAGAAGGGGGAGAGAATACTGAGATAAGCCTCCGTTAATTAGCAGCTCTTCTTCCTCGGATGAGGAAGGTGACGAGGAAGGTGACGTAGGGCTGTCAGGAGGCAATGAATCTGAGAGGGGGGAGCCACTTCCGGGGCCCAGCCACACTCGTCACAGAGGAAGGAAGAGGGTTGGGCTCAGAAAGTGGATATGCTGGGGGAAACCGAAGGCTTCTTCAGTCGAGGCAACTGACTCACCATGATGGAGGCTGACTTTCAGAGCTCTTGTAAATAACGACAAGAAACCAATAAATCCTGTAAATATGGCTGGATTCCCAGACTCTTATCTCTGCTAGCACTCACCAATCATTCCTGACAGGTGGGATGTGCCCTTTGATCAAGTCTAAGTTCACATACAGCAGTGATTCACCAATTGGAGGTCCAAGGACCACCCACCCAGCGGCTCCATTACACCATTCACATAACAAAAACTGCCAAAGAGATATCCAAATGTTCAAAGGTAGAGGGGCCCATGGGTCTTGGCTTCTGAAAAAGAAGGGGTCTGTACTACTTAGCTAACTGGGAACCACTGGCATACAGGGTTTAAGTTCCCAGCTGGCATTATCCAACTCCAATGGCCGTTTGTGAACTTTACTCAATGCCTTTGCCAAAAAGGTTAAGTGGTTAGTACTGGGTGCATCAATGGAGATGAACGCCATTGGGTTTTGTTCCAGGAGAAAGCGACCCTCCATTCATCCAGTCTTGGTAATAAATGCCAGACCAGCTCGCTGTTCTACTACCAAGCTGTGGATGAGTGAGATCTTACTCTGACCTTGTCAATCCATCAACACAAGTTGAAAAGAGTTGTTCGATACTTCAAGGGGAACCATGAACTGTCTTAAACAACCCAAAACTATTGGGGATCTGTCATTGATTCCTGCTTTGCAGGGGTTGGACTAGATGACCCTTGGGGTCTTATCCAACGCTAAATATCTATGTGTCTATGATTCTATCCAAGAGAGTGACGTGAACTACGCTCTCTCGCACACTTGCCTCCTCTGCTCCTATTATTTTAGTTCTGAGATTGCTAGTTATTCAGATTGTTTAGCAGATAACTGTAGAAATATTTTCCTAAAGAGAGTGTCACTCAGTTTAGGTTCCTGCAAGTCCTTTTGCAGCTGAGCTAAGCAGCACAAACCATTGAAAAGGATGCCCTCGCCCTCTTCTGAATCACCACATTCACTAGGTTAGAGAAGCAGGAAGAGCAGCCTTCCTGCCTCTCCAACCTTGTGAGAAGAAGCAGCCGCTCACCTGGACAATGATGTGGAGGAGTACATATGCAGATCTTAGGTAGTAGAGAAAAGTGCATGGCAAAATATATTTGGAGGGTGAACAGATCAGTTATGTAAACAGAACCTGCAACTTTTTGGAATGCACGCCATTAACAAATGTTTCTTCAGAAACTTACTGGACTTCAGCCTCCATTCCTGACAGCCACGACCATTTCTTTCCCTTGTCTTTAAAGACTCCAATCCAAAAAAACTTTTGATGTCTTTCTACTTGCTTGTTTATAAAATACTAGGGAAGGGGTCAGAAAGAACAAATAAAACCTTTTAAGACAATGTCCTTTTCTCTAGGAGACTATAGCCCTTGACAGAAATTCAACATGCATAAAACAAGCACATTTTAAAAGCAGCAAGTGTCACATTTGAAGGTCCAATCCACATATATTGAGGAAGCAGTGATCAAAACTATACATAGTATTCCCATCAGCAAGAATAATTTCGTACAGTGGATGTGGTATTGTCCCCCTGATCACAATTATGATGATGATGGAAGCAAGGAATCATCCCAAAGAGGAACTATTGTAGGGAAGGGTGACTTCACCTGCCCTCACCAAGACTGGCTACACATGTCTTCCAGTCACGACACAGAGTTAAAATTTCCAAATGCTGTAAATGACTGTGCCATAGAACAGTTGGTCTTGGAACCACCTAGCAGGACAGTGACCTGTGTGGCAAATACTCCAATTTCTGCCGCCATGTTTGTTGGTTGGCTCCAAAGACACTGGAATCAGTCTGCTTGTGGGATACTTGATGGCATGATGATGGAGTCTCACCCACGTCTGTGCCCTGTAGCAGCCCAGTAGCTCCTCTACCAGGGCTAAGGTGCTGGGAGAGGGATATACCCTGCAAGCTCCTCTAGAGTAATCTCCATGATACTCTCATGCCAGAGGGTTCGGGTGGTGAGTGATGCCTTCTTTCTAAGCACTCATTACATCTCACAGAGTAGAGGAAGAATTTACCGGCAAGCCAAGGGATAGATGCCCCTCAAGTATCTCCTCCTTCACCTCCCTCAAGACCTCCTTCCTGACTGCCAGCTTCATTCTATTACAGCTCAGCATCTCCAAGAAACCTCAGTGAGTCCCAAATGGTAGCAGCTGCTCCCTGCCCCACCCACCCCTTGGCTTGACTGATGGAGTTGCTGTCTTGGCTGCATACAGGGGGATTGGAGCTTCTTAAATGGATGGTGATGATAGGAGCCTTTGGCTCAAGGAGATCTCCTACATTCCTGTACTCAGCTTTGATGCTCACCTGTTCTTCCCTTGTTTCCACAGAAATGAGCCTGGCGCCCTCCTGCTCACAATGTTTTTGGGCATCCGTCCATGAGCCTATCTCAATAGAAAACCAATAGAAGGTCCTTTCATATATGACCCAGCCATTGTTCAAGTTTTCAAGAAGGGTATCTTTGAGTCAAGCCATGTATGGAGGAAGTAGAGGGGGGGGGAAATAGGGAAATTAATGGGGACCACCTTGTTTGTCTGTGCAGATTTCAGTTATTTTTGTTAAGTTCATTCCTGTGGCCACGTGATAACATATATTCATCTAGGAAGCTCAGAAAGATTAAAACAAGAAGAACATTAACACTTCAACCCATGCTGATGCTGCAGTAAATACAGTGGTGCCTCGCAAGACGAAATTAATCCGTTCCGCGAGTCTCTTCGTCTTGCAGTTTTTTTCGTCTTGAGAAGCACGGCTATTAGCAGCTTAGCGGCTATTAGCGGCTTAGCGGCTTTAAGAAAAAGGAAACAAACTCGCAAGAACTCGCAAGACGTTTCGTCTTGCGAAGCAAGCCCATAGGGAAATTCGTCTTGCGGAACGACTCAAAAAATGGAAAACCCTTTCGTCTAGCGAGTTTTTCGTCTTGCAAGGCATTCGTCTTGCGGCGCACCACTGTACCTGGGTGGGGATAGCTGGAAAAGGAACGCAGTCAAGAAGCTTTTATTTGAGGGAACAGACAAAAGATGTACGTCCCCTCACAGGCCTTATCTGAACCCCTGGGGCCTCGCCTACTTGTTTCTTTTCCTCTCTCCAGGCTCTCTGCTGGGGGTGGGAATCTAGAGTGTGTGTTCCTGGCATTGGGCAACTGGGACAGAGGAGGGAGTCTGCTGGTTTACCACCCACTTTGCTGCCCAGCAGTCTCCCTGCCTGAGCTGACAGGATGGATCCAGTGGGCTTCCCAAATGGCTCTGGGGGATTTTGGTGCTCCTGCCGAACTTTGGCCAAGCTCTGGAACAACCTAATAATAATAATAATAATAATAATAATAATAATAATAATACTTTATTTATATGCTGCCCATCAGACTGGGTTTCCTCCAGCCACTCTGGGCAACTTCCAACAAATTAAAACAGAATTGGACACCAACCATTAAAACCTTCCCTGAAGAAGGCTGCCTTCAAATGTCTTCTGAAAGTCAGATAGTTGTTTTTTCCCTTGATATCTGGTGGGAGGGAGTGCCGCAGGGCAGGTGCAACTACCCAGAGGGCCCTCTGCCTTGGCTTGGGCCATTGACATGATTGGCCCTGAGTGCCCATTCCTGCTTCATGCAGCCTGCTTGGCCCCCTGGTATACTGCAGAGGGGGACATGGGTGGCGCTGTGGGTTAAACTACAGAGCCTATGACTTGCCGATCAGAAGGTCGGCGGTTTGAATCCCCGCGACAGGGTGAGCTCCCATTGCTCGGTCCCTGCTCCTGCCAACCTAGCAGTTCAAAAGCACATCAAAGTGCAAGTGGATAAATAGATACCACTCCAGCGGGAAGGTAAACGGTGTTCTGTGCGCTGCTCTGGTTCGCCAGAAGCGGCTTAGTCATGCTGGCCACATGACCCGGAAGCTATACTCAGGCTCCCTTGGCCAATAAAGTGAGATGAGCGCCGCAACCCCAGAGTCGGTCACGACTGGACCTAACGGTCAGCTGTCCCTTTACCTTATACTGCAGAGGTTAGGGCAAAGAAAGATGCTGGAAGATGGCTTTTACGTGAGTGGAGGAAAAATCTGGTTGAATGCAATCGACTACTGGTGAGGGCTCATCATTGAGCCTACCAAGTGGCAGTGAAGGCTACAAAGAAGACGTGCTCTGCTTCCTCCATTGTGCCATCCAGCAGAGCTTTCCCGGGTAGCGTATGGCCTGCTACAGTCTGGCCCGAAGGAGATGATAGAAGTGAGAGCAGCTTTCTGTGACTTGCTTGCAAAGCATTTTGACAGTTCAGGAGAGCTGATCTGAATATCTCTGATGTTTCCCTAGGGTGGCTGGATGCGAAGGAGGGCAGCAGCCTGCTCTGGCTCTAAAAGTTTTCAGCTAGAGGAGGGGCTTTCAGCTGGTGCAGAATCAGGGCTGGTTCCCACTGCACTACAATTTTTCAGCACCGTAGGGTAGCTTACCAATTTCTTTTTGCAGTTGATCATTTAAGTTGACAAAATACTTCATTTCCTCCGATATGTTTTGAGCTGCAGCAAGTATTTCTAAGTCTAAAAGATTTGAAACAGTTTAAGGCAGGAGTATCTGAAATAACAATCTGCAAATATCAGGAAACCATTTCCAAACATTTAAAAACACTCAAGCCTGAAACAAGAAGCAGAGCTCCAGGATGGATTTCTTATGAATATAAGGGCAGACTTGATTCTCTGTGGCTGAGATCACCAACGAAAAGCCTCTGAAGACCCCTGCAGCTGGATCAGACCAAAGACCCATGCAGTCTACTATCCTGTTCTCATATTAAAAGTGGCTCATGAAGTATCTCTGATGTTCCCTTCCTATGTCCTCCTTTTCTGCTGGGAATCACAGGGTCACAAACCAATTCTGCCTTGAATTCCACAGGAAAGCCAAATATTCAAAGAATACTTTGCAGTTTTCAATTATGCTTTGTGAGATCTAAGAAAATAGAGGCACTGAAACTCTTTTTATGATGTGGGATATAATGTCAGTGCAAGGATTTTCCCTTGTGCAATCCGCCTCCTTCCCTCCAATCTGTTCCAAAGTCCCCCCCCCCCCCCCGCAGAGAGCAGCTTTGGTGATGGCATGCAGGGAGAAGTGGGGGGAACGTTCCCTTGTGCTAGTGCTAAAATCTTGCACTAGCACAAACATTGTGAGTTACAGTGTGATGGGGGAGGACAGCATTTCTAGTGGGGAGATGTGAGAATCACAACCGTCTGCTTTTCTTTCTGCTGAGCAATGAAAAAGTGATGAACTCTGTTGGGTGCTGAGTTTCATTGAATACATGTATTGCTCAAGCAATATGAACCCCAAAGTGAACTGCAAGAATTAAACTCTGTTTAATTTAAACATGTTACAGCAAAAGTGTGGATGTGCATATAAAATGCTTACCATCCTTGTCTTCGTAGATTGGATCAGTCCCAACAACCACAGTTCGTATCATATCCATCGCCACTTGAAGCTCCTCTCTCTTTTTCAGTTCCTTCCGATCTAAGAAGGAGGTAGGTAGAAAAGAAATTGTGTTCTGGCACACTAATCTGATAAGCTGGGGAAGGGGATACTTGGTTTCAAACTGCTATTAATATTGGATTTAAATTGCCGACTTGTAACGTGCCCCGGGTCCTTAGGGAGAAGGGCAAATAAAATATCAAATCAACAAAAACATGAAAATGACTTCTATTAATATTTTCTGCTCTCAGCCCTTAGATTGAGGGTTCCCAAGCCTTGATTTAAGCTGCCCTGGTCGTCTGAAGTCCTGGTTCCATTTAGCCTGCTACTTCTTCACCAGATAGTTGGCCTTCCTTATAGAGAGCTTTAGATTTTTGGTGTCTAGATACACCTGTCCTCTTTGTCCTACAGACTTGCATTTGCTAGGTTGCCTCGTGCTCTGCCATATGCTTAAAATATGCAAATTCTTGGATCACATGACTCCCTCTCCCCGAGCTTTGCTTACTTTAAAAGCGAATTCACTAGGCAAATAGGCCATGTGTTCATCTATCCAGTGCTATTTTTCTGGAAAAGAGGCACTCAAACTCGCCATTAATGCCTCCCTTGTTCTCTTAGAATGGAAACATCACCCACCTGAGAGGGGCCGGAACTGAGTCCTGGTGAATTCTGGCTGAAAAAAGCCCTGCATATATCTTGATATTTAGGTAGGCTATGGATCCAGCCACATTAGCCATGGCCTTATCCTTTGCAGCCTGTTTTCCCCAAACACTTTCCTTGAAGAGACTGGAGCCCTAGCAGAGGGCAGGGCGCCGAGGACCAGAAATGGGGGCTCTCCCACAGTAAATGAGATTTAGTTGGGAAAGGAGGAGAGAATTGCAAGCTGGGCAATTCACAGCATGTAATGCCTTAAGAGAGAATATAATGAAAATGATATACAGTGGTGCCTCGCAAGACGAAATTAATCCGTTCCGTGAGGCTCTTCATATAGCGGTTTTAAAATTTAATAATAATAAAAAAAAGAGAATTGCAAGCAGGGAAAGGGAATTGTCCAGGGTGTCCCGGGGACTTGTGTTAGCCTGTGCTTCTGTTCCAAGTGCTGGAACTCACTTATTCAGGGAGAACAAAACACTGCCATTGCTCTCACTGGGTGACAGCTGTAACTCCCTCCCTGGTATAAAAGAGAGATGAAAGGGGTAAATGGAATGTGGATCCTGCCATCTCTTTTTGGAAATGCTATTGGCATTGAAGCAAAGCCCACGACAGAAGTATCACTGTATGCCAATTGTGTACTTACACAGAATGAAAACCAGCAGTGTCATGACAGTAAAGATGAAAATCTCAAGTACGATCAATCTTTCACCCACTGGAGATTTGAAGAAAGTAACCAAGTCCTGAAAAGCAGATGCTTGAAGAAAGAAAATCCTGCTTTAGCCATCAATAGCCAACATACCATTGCCACTCCAGGAAAAAGGGCTTCCATATGCTGTGGAAGCCATCAGCCAGAGACACTCAACTGTTCAGGGGGTGGGCAATTGGGAGGATAAAAGCAGGTGGAGGGAGCAAAGCGAGATGCCTTGCTGCTTGAGGAAACTTTTCTGACCAATGTCTGGATCAGAAGACAGGAGCCTTTGATACTACTTTCTGCCCCCCAGGCAAATGACAAGATGCTCCCTCCAAATACATAATTCCACATACACAAGCTGGGCTGGGCTGGCCATTGGCTCTTATCTCAGTGTCGCTAATGGGGCAGCAGACTAACTGAGGAGGTGCAGTGCAGCTTGTGTGGTCTGCACATCTCTACCCACCCCAGACCTGCTACCTGAGGCAACTGCCTCATTCTGCCTAATTGTACAGCCATTCCTGACTGCACACACTAAAGGAACACAGCAGCCAGCAGCAAAGAGTAGGCTCACCCCTGGGGTTTCTATGGGGCTTAGTGGACCTCTGGCACCCAAAGAGCTGTGTGGGCTTTTCTCAGCACTCCTCCCTGGCAAAACATGACGGGTTCCACTCCCTGCCCGTCTCTCCATCAACTTCCCTTTCCCGCGCATTCCTCTACTTTATGAGAAACCTCAGCCCATATGACTGTGCTGTATACAGACCACCAGTTTCATTTGCTCTTGCTTTGCGCTTTCTGGACGCTATGTTCCTTCTGGACGCTCCACGCTTTGGAAGCGCTAGCTTCCCCATCCTCTTGGTTTTGTCTGAGTAAGAACAAGACAAGAACAAATGGAGAATAACACTAGGAGCACATTAGGTACAGAGTGGGGTCTATCAGTATTAGACCATCCTTTCCCCCCGTAAAGAGGTTGTTGAGTCCAATATAACTGAAATATCTTTCTTTTTCTTTTGCTAGATCAATCTCAGTTTTGAACCAAAAGAAATGTTCTATATGGATTCCAATGCATTTTTGAAAATTGTTTTAGGTAATATAGCACTTTCTCATTTTGCATCCTATTCCTCTCTAAACTCCTGGACATCTTGTTTGCAGGACTCCATTGAGATGTTCACCATTTACTAGATGTTGTGGGATCGATGAGGTCTTCATATGTTCCTGGGTGCCAACTCCCTGCATCACAGGCACCACGGTCAATGGTTGAGGACGATGGGAGTTGTAGACCAATAACAACTGGAGGGTCACATGTTCCCCACCCTTGATGGAAGGTAAAGGTAAAGGTGTTGTAAAACTAGCCCCATCGGGAGAGGCTGGCCCCTCTCCCTGCTCCTGGAGCTTGTTTACCGGTTGATCTACTCTGGCTGCCATCCCAGACAGTCCAGGCAGACCTTGATAGGCGACATCTCCCAGCGTGGAAAATGCACACCCCCTTCTCCCCCTTTGCAGGGGAAAGAAGAATAGTCAGAAAGTCCTTCTACATTCTGTTTATTTCTGACATTACAGCACTACAAGAAAACATGTCCGATCACTTCAGTCTCCTTCCAGCAAGTGACAAAGACTTCCTTTACATAGGCAACAGAAAGGTCTCATATTACACACAGAACACAGCTTTGAGTAGCCTGTGAACTTCCGGTAACATTCTTTCCCACAGCTAGCCACATCACATGATGTAAACATCAAGCTAGCAGTTTGCAGCTGTGTTGTATCCATATCGTAACAAAAGGGGCCCCTGACCATTAGGTCCAGTCGTGGCCGACTCTGGGGTTGTGGCGCTCATCTCACTTTATTGGCTGAGGGAGCCGGCGTACAGCTTCCAGGTCATGTGGCCAGCATGACTAACCTGCTTCTGGTGAACCAGAGCAGCGTACGGAAATGCCGTTTACCTTCCCGCCGGAGTGGTACCTATTTATCTACTTGCACTTTTGATGTACGTTCGAACTGCTAGGTTGGCAGGAGCAGGGACCGAGCAATGGGAGCTCACCCCGTCGCGGAGATTCGAACCGCCAACCTTCTGATCGCCAAGTCCTAGGCTCTGTGGTTTAACCCACAGCGCCACCCGCGTCCCTTTGATGGAAGGTATATACATTTAATCATAGAACTACCTCCTGATCATCAGAAAAGATGGAGTACAAGATCCAGTCTCCGTGAGATGCATAGAAATCCAATTGAATGGAGACCATGAGTTGGAACTGGAAAAGAAGCAGAGAGGAAGCTGTTACACAGGCTCTCCAAGTCTGCCAAGACCCAGCCTGACAACTGATGCTGTGGCTTAACGAAAGAACGAAGAGGGATGTTGTCTAATTCCGTTTTGAAGCCATCTGAGCTAGCAAATGGAATTGCAAAGACTTGCATTTTCTGGATCATGATCTGGATCTGGATTGACAAACTGGGCCCATGAATCAGAGCAGGGCACCAGGGAAGAAAACAGTATGTGGTGCTTCTGATTTGCAATGTAGCTGTAGCTTTAATATAAGGAACGTGGCTGTTTGAGAAGAAGTGAAAGGATGGGAACGTAATTTCTGCTCACACCCCCTCCAGGAGGTGGGCGGGGTTTGCGACACAGCGGGGGGCTTACCTGCCAGGTGCCACCCACCTTGCTGCAGAGTGACTGTCACCCTGCCCCCTTCTCAGCAGGACAGTGGGCCCCCAGTTGGGGGTGGGGTGAGGGCCAGGAAAAGGGCCGGTGCTCTTCAGCCCAGGCTCACTTTGTTTTCTTCCTCCTGGAAGCATCGCTGGACTTCGCTCTTGGTGAGGTAAGTGTTCCTCTTGTTCATGGCTTCCCCCCGGGGACGAGCAGGGGATTGGGGCCATGGTGGGGCCTGCTTTGGCCTTGCTGCAGCCCGCACCTCCTTCCCGGCATCGGGGCCAGGTCATAGCTGTCAACTTTTCCCTTTTTTTAAAGGAAATTCCCCTATTCCGAATAGGATTCCTTGCAAGAAAAGGGAAAAGTTGACAGCTATGGGCCAGGTTGGGGCCTCCCACGGTCAGCACCTCTTCCGCGGCTTTGGGGGTGGTATAGGGGCTGCTGTACAGCCTCCTGGGTGGCCCATGGCCTGCGCCTTTCCCTTCGGCAGTGTGGGGTGATTGGGGCTGTGCAGGATGGGAATGTAATTACAGCATGAATCACACCTCTTGCCAGCTTGGCATGAGACCTTCACTATGGACTATATAAGGGCCAGCAGCTTTAGGAGACAGGGAGATCTTGATATATTGTTCTATGCTCCATTCCAGAATGTGAAGAGAGCAGCCGTCTGCCAGTCTGAAGTGTCCCAGATAAACCTTCCAAATCTCCATCGGCTGGGGAGACATGAAGAACTCTACCTATTCTATCTGTATTTTGATTATTGTTGCCTAAGATTTTTTGGCTTATTGCTTATATTGCTAGCTCGGTAGTTTATTCCAGTTGCTGTTGGCTTTGGATTAGACTCTTATTCTACGGTGCTGATCAATTTCTTTGCTAATGTTTACCAATTAATAAACACTTGTCTCTACCTAAGAGTCTGTCAGTCCTCCGTCCAGTGGAATCTAAAGAACCTCTAGATTGTCTGGTGGTTGATATTGGCCAAAAAGCCATTAGGGGGCGCTGGCAAGACAGCACCTGTACACAGCCCTAGAATGTACCACCAGTCAGTTTCATTGGCTGACCCACAGTTCTAGTACTGTATTTAAAAGAGAAAAAACATCTGTACAGTACTTTATAAAAGCTCCTGATCATTTTCCCTCTTAGTGACCTTTTGGCCCTGGAATGAGACCCTGCAAATATCACAGCTCATAAGGAAAGTGTTCCACCCTCCAGACCTTTTTCTGTTTGGATACCTTGGTGTTGTCATATAACAATCTTTTCTCTAATTTCTTCTTAAGGGTGTTTCATCCTCCCACTGGCTAAGAGCCGCCTCCCTTGTGATGTCAGGCATTCCAGAACTCCTCCCATTCAGCATTCTACATTAAGCATAAACCCAGGAAAATGTTTTCCCCCAGATCAGTTACACTACTTATTTTTCCAATCCTTACCCCAGTTGTTGTATAAATAAATAATTTTATAATTATTTATTATCGTTAAACGTTTATTATCATTACAGTCAAACATTGGTTGTTGAACGTAATCCATTCCGGAAGCCTCTTCGGTTTCCCAAATGTTCGACAACCGAGGTGCGGCTTCCGGTTGACTGCAGGATGTAATATTTAAAGCATTTACATCCCCCACCACTAGGTGTCACTGCAGTCAGAGCTGCAGGCCCTTCTATTATTTTGTCTATGGTTCCATTTTAAACAGGCTAAGGATGATGGATGATTCAGCTTTTCTTTATAGTCATCGCCAATTTGTCACCCTCTCTTCAATTCCTCAATGCTTTCATTTCTCCTTTTCCTCCCCCTTCCAGGGGCTTCTTACCCAAAGAGGCTAGTGGCACAGGGCACCAAGTTCTGAAGCGCACCAGGGAAGAGGCGGAGGCCTTCCGGCATCAGCTCGCCACCCTCTCCTGCCTCCACCATGCCGCATCAAAGCAGCGCCGTATCCGGAGCCTCTGTCTGCTGTGGCCACCGCAGCCCGAAGCAGCCAGCAGAGCCAGGAGGCGCTGCGTCCAGCCTCTGCCTCTTTCCGGCTGGAGGAGCCACCCTCCAGCCGCTGCCCACTTCCTTTGGCCCCACCGGCAGTGCCGTCCTCTCTAGAGCCAGGGAAATGGGGGGGCACCGGAGGGAGCTTTGCACCATGGTGCCCACCAGATATGCTTAAGATGGCCCTGCCCCCTTCTTTGCCGTTCACAACGTTCAGCCAAGTCTTTATAGCTCCCTTGGGTTCCGTTGGGTTCTGCTTACTATTTTAATCCTTTTGCCTTCTCCGTGGCTTTGCTCAGAGTGATTCTCCGTGGATCCAAACACCAGGATTGGGGGGAAGGGATCTAGCAATCCCCCCCCGCCCCGCTCTTCATCTCAGCGTTAAAAGAGATTTAGGTCAGTTCTTAAACTTTGCTGATCTGTTTTACTCACTTCAGCTAGTATGCAGGAGCCAAGAGGCTAAGCCTCACTTTTTACTTCGATGTAAAGCTCTTTAATTGCAATTAGATAGATCATGTTGCCACGGATCTCTGGCAAGTGAATTTTTTTAAACTTTCGGCCGAGATTTCTTAATAAAAATGTATAACCTCTGCATCCATGAGCTTGGAGTTTTTAGTTTGAGCTCCTTTTTGGTCCGAATCTTATTTTATTTATTTGAGATGCAGGGTCCGGCTGCTCTTATAAAACGGAGAGTTCAACACTACACACTTCAGTCCTTGGGGCGTCTTGCTGCAAGGTTGGCCCGTTTTTTAGCGCTGAGGTTCTCCAGTCCTCCTTCTACTCTTGTGCTTGAAGCTCTGGAAACCCCTTTTTGTGCTGTTTGGTGCCCTTTTTGGTCTGAAGTGTCTTCTCAGACCTTTTTGGGAGCAGTCACTTCTCCCCGTGCTTCCCTTGCCTTGCTGCGATCAGGAGGTGCTCGATCCAGCAGGAGCACTTTTCCCCAACCTGATTGTGAGAGTGCTTTGCCGGAAGTCTCCGATAAAATTCCACTGTAGTCTACCATTAACATTCTTTTCCCATCATATTTTTCAATCAGTTATTTTTCAAGCTTCTTTAAAAAAATCCACTTTTTTTCATTTGAGGCATAAATTCCAACTGTCGCGCAGCGTAAATTAATAATGCAGAGTTTTTCAGTGAAAGAATAAGAGCTTTACTGAGTTAAAGTAAACTTCTTCATAAACAACATGGTTCCATACAGTTTGACTGAGATTACATGCTGACTCTGCTCCTCACAACTGAGGCAGACTGACTCTGACTGAAATCTTCCTGAGGACACAGAGAGAAAAAGGCTGCTACTTATAAGGAGAATGAGTCACATGACAGAGTGACTCAACAGTTAGCAGTTAGGCCTGAATAACTTTAGTAGGCCCGAATGATTGTGCAGTTCCAGCACTTCCCAGCCTGCTTTGCTGCTTCTGCTCTCACATGGCACTGCTTGTCACATGACACCAACCACTATCATTTTTGTCTCAGCTATCGTGTCTTCCACCTCAAGAATCCTTTCTTGGGTCTAATCTTGAATGAATACATAAAACCACCCTCTCTCTCTCTTATCTGACAAGATGAATTCTTGACCTACAAAGGTCACCACTTCAATTTGTTGGCTCTTATCCAGTCCATTATCGAGGCAAAACACTGCTCCAGAGCATTGACTGCCTGACCTGCAGATGTCAAGGAGAAGAAGAACTGAGTGTCACCAGCAAATTGCTGACAACGTGCCCAGGCTTAGAAAGGAAGCTTAGACTGTATTTTTCCACTGGCCCAGAGTCTTCCCTCCAGTACTCCAAATGCAGTGGTACCTCGCAAGACTTGCATAAATGATGGAGGGAGGAACCAGAGAGATGGCTCTGTCCCACAAGGCCACACAATGAGCCAAGGGAAGAACATGGCAGTTGGTGTCAGAATCTTGAGAGGTGATGTGTCATTTGTCTACTTTTCATATGTTCTATGTTTTAAATAGAAGGCTGTATATTGTCTCCCTGCTTATTTAACTTATATGCAGAATTCATCATGCGAAAGGCTGGGCTGGATGCATCCCTAGCCGGAATTAAGATTGCCGGAAGAAATATCAACAACCTCAGATATGCAGATGACACAACCTTGATGGCAGAAAGTGAGGAGGAATTAAAGAACCTTTTAATGAGGGTGAAAGAGGAGAGCGCAAAATATGGTCTGAAGGTCAACATCAGAAAAGCGAATATCATGGCCACTGGTCCCATCACCTCCTGGCAAATAGAAGGGGAAGAAATGGAGGCAGTGAGAGATTTTACAGTAGCCAGGGGGGCAGATCGCCCCCTAATTCCATAAAAAAAAATAGAAATCTGAGGTTCTGCCAAGCGAGAGAGGGCTGAGCTGGAGGGACTTGGCTTTGCAAGGGTTAAAGGGAACCGAGCTGCCTTCCTAGAGAGGACAGGAAGTGGGGGAGCAGGTCCTCCAGAGCCAAGGCCCCTCCCTCCCCAGTCCTTTCCTGCAAGGAAGGGGGGTGTTGCTTTGTGTCTCTGCTGCAAGGGCTGCCTCGCTGCCCCCTCCTGGGATCTGGTGAGTCTCCTCTCTCTCTGGGATCTGGTGAGTCTCCTCTCTCTCTGGGATCTGGTGAGTCTCCTCTCTCTCTGGGATCTGGTGGGGGTCCCAGGGCTGCAGCAGGGGAGGGGGCCGGGGGGGCCTGATCTGCTCCTGCGGGGGGGGGGACCCCAAGTCAGGGAGGAGAGGGTCCTGCCAGGGAGGGGCCAGGTCTGCCACGCTCTCCTTCCTGCAGATCAGAGGATCCCAAACTCATTTGGCCCTCCGCCCCCCCCCCTTCAGAAAAGATCTCCCTTCTTCAGACAAAGGAGTCCCTGGGACTTTAACTCTGTGTGACATCGCTCAGCCTCACTGCACAACAGAGGAAACATGTGCAAATGGTTTTCCAAAGCTGGAGGAGGAGGTGCACTAGCCCCCCCCCAAAAAAAAAAGGTCGGAGAGAAAGGGCAGGAATAAAGAGAGGGATCCCAGCCCAGAGTCTGGCTGCTGCATTGGGGACCAGTTTCCCAGTGTCTCCCAGGGCAGCTCCCCACGGAGGCCACTGCAGCAATCCCCTCGCACCCAGAGCAGGGCATCCCAGGACCACATCCTCTCTCTCCCAAAGGGATTGTTGCTGGCAAAGCAGCTGGAAATGGGCGCTGCTACTCCCTGAGCCTCCAGGGACCTTGGCATCAATGGCTGTGTGTGTGTTAAGCTATCTAAGAGAATTATTATTATTATTATTATTATTATTATTATTATTATTATTATTATTTGCTGCCTAAATTTCAAGGGAGATGTATTTGACCCCACCCACCTGGCCCTCTGGGGTTTGCCAGATACATACCTGGCCCTCAGAGCAAAGAAAAAGGGACCCCACCCCAGGAGTCTGCCTTGAGAGTGGCAGAGAGTCCAAGTTCAAGAAAGGAGACAGAAGCAGGGGAGTGGGGGTGGGGGGAGCAACTCCTGAGGACCCCCGGGTGAGGACCCCCACTAGAGCCAAACAGCCATTATTCACAAGATACAAATGACTTCCTTGTCAGTCAGTTCTGACTTCATGCATTGACTGGAAGGCAGGAGCAACCAGGCTGATTCATCTCCCAGAAATCCCTTCAGTTGCCTCCACATTTTCCATTGCAATCTTTCTTCTAGGAGAGCTAGAGGCTGCTTCCTCCTCCTCCTCCTCTTCCTCCTCCTCCTCTTTCTTCTCCTTTTTAAAAAGGCCCTTTCCACCTGGCCTAGGGGGTGAGGCCCAGACTCATCCTGCCCTACTGTGTTAAATATGTATTCTGTAGTTGACCTCCTTTGTAAGGTTTTATTTTGACATGTTTATAAGAATATTTGTTTTCTGTTATGTTGCTTTGACTATAGACTATATATTTGACTTTCTTCCAATGGTTTTATTTCTATTTTATTGATTTTGTGGGATGTGAAACTGCAGTCAAGTAGAACATTCCTACAGGGGACACATTAGGGGATGTTTTCTACCACTCAGGAGAAGACTTCCTGTTTCCTCCTGAGCTGGGACAGACTTCCACTACATGTGACTTGAAGAGGGTGCAGTCTGTTGTACTAGCATGGAGGAGCACATGGCCTCCATCTTCTGATCAGTGTGTCTTCTCCATTTTGTATGTTGCTGTGTGTTTGGAGAAGTGACTCCTTAGTGGCAGTCATTTGGGACTAACTTCTTTATGGAATAGTTCTAATTGTTATGTAACCTAAGCCTGCCTTCAGGGATATGTCTGTGAACGTGAACGAATCTGTGAGTAAACTACTTTTATAGTAACGTGAATCAGATTATTGTGCTTATTCATTTAAGAGGGATTGGAAGGGATTTTACCAGGAAGGAATTTTAATAGTAAGACTCAGATGAGTCAGCAACAAACTGATCGCTGCGTAATCTAAAAAAGGGGGATGTATGGAACTAGAATATGGAACTTGCTAGTGCATGTTAGGAAGGATATCATTCAATAATATATCTTCTTCTAACTCCCCAATTATCCCCACAGATTTAATATGCTGTAAACCGCTTTGAGATTTCTCTTTAAAATATAAAGTGTTATAGAAATTTAAATAAATAAAATAGCTCATGGTTTGGGCTGTGGTGCAGTCCAGCCCTGGTTCCCTCCAAGACTCATCCATGCTTGCTCAGGGAACCTTTTTTTTCTCCTGATCTTAGACAGCTTTTGTAACTGAACAGTGTATTTGCTTTGTAGGATTTGCTAGCGCCTCTCCTTAAGACAGACAGAACTTGGCAGAAGACCAAAGGGTTCCTTCCGATCTCTCAGAGGCTTCCTGAGAGCACAGATGGGTGAGCGAGACTCAGCTGGCCCTGGAACAGAAAGAAGCCATGCCAACCAAACTGGGAGCAGTGGGGGGTTCTGGAAAGAGGTTTGCAGCCGACTCTACCACCTTTGTCGTCAGTGGCTGAAGCCAGAAAGGCACACGAAAGCTGAGATGCTGGACCTGGTGATCTTGGAGCAGTTCCTGGCTGTCCTTCCCCCGGAGATGGAGAGCTGGGTGAGGGAATGCGGAGCGGAGACCAGTTCCCAGGCGGTGGCCCTGGCCGAAGGTTTCCTCCTGAGTCAGGCAGAGGAGAGAAAGCAGGTGAGAGAGACTTTCCTCTGGATACTCCCAAGGGGCTCCAAACAGGACAGAGAACATCCCATAATGGTCTGCTGATGGCCCATCCATTTTCTGGGAAAGCATCCATGGAATGTGATCTCACACCCTTCAAGTCTTTGTCATTCTCTTTCTAGTCTTTCTCACCGTTCTCTGTTTTGAATCCTTGTTTCTTTCTCAGGGAAAGGCTCTCTTTGCAGAAATGGGCCAGATTTCCTCTGAGGCAGAGAGGTCTCCGTTGGACACCAGAGAGAGGCCACTGGGTAAGGAGGAAGGTGGTTTTTCTCCGTTTAGTCTCATTCTGTTGGTTTTCCAACTCATCTCTGGGTTCTTTTCATCTTTTGTTGGGGGAGATAGTGTGACCAAGAGCCCAAAGGAGGGGAGATATATTTTTTCACACATAACATTTCTAATGCACCCAAATATCCAAATGCACTCAGCAGGCCAGACTTTCTCAAAGGCCCCTCTGTAGTTTGAGATGCACTGATTTACCTGTGAGACAAGAAGGCACTCTGGGCCTCCCCCTTACCTTTTTCCTCTTGCAGGTGACAGAATGATGCCCGCAAGACCTCTTCATCCATCTCTGAATGGGGACAGAAGAGAAGCAGCGGCTGTGGAACCAGATCAGGTCAGGGGAAGCTGCCTTGTGGGGAGAGAGGTCAAGGGGTAGAATAATGTCCTAGCCCAAGGGGCGGTGGTGAACAACACTGTTGTCTCAGAGGAAGACATTTCCCTTTTTCTTTTAGGGTCCAGTGTGCTTTGAAGATGTCGCTGTTTGTTTCACGGATGTGGAGTGGGAGTTGCTGGATCCTGACCAGAGAGCTCTGCATAAGGACGTCATGGAGGAGAATCGTGGGATCGTGGCCTCTCTCCGTAAGGCTCCCAGTGGGATCATAATATCTGTTTCTAAATTCAAAACTCCATATGTGACGAACCTCATATATTTTCACTGAACTCAACAGCGCCCCCTACAACACCGGATATCACAATACCCCCCAAAAAACCTTGAACAGTAAATTGCTGGTTTTTCCTGTGAATGTTCTTCCTCCAGTTGCAGCTCATTAAACAAGGATCAGCTAGTCTGAACTCCCCAGACCCTTTTGACTGTAAACTTCAGAAAATCCATTCGAGACAAGAGCCAGGCTTACCGAATCACAGGTTCCCCTAAGGATGTCGGTTGATCCATGTTAATTAATGCACCCAACCCATCAGAAAACCATCCATCTAACCCACTTGTGTTATGCCTCTATTACCAGAGTTAACAAGTATTCTTCCTTAATTTCTCCCTGAGACACTAATCCATTACTCTTCATTCCAGATAGTGATGGACTGGAAATCAAGGACAAGGGTGACCATGACAAAATCCCCAGAATGGAGAAGCTGAATAAATATCTTGAAAGTGGAAAAAGTTCCAATTCCACTTCCCCGCAAGGAAATCTCATTAGGAAGAAACCCTATCAGTGTGTGGAATGTGGAAAGAGATTCAGTCACAGCCACAGTCTAACTTCCCATCAAAGAATTCATACAGGGGAGAAACCCTATCAGTGCGTGGAATGTGGAAAGAGCTTCAGGAATAGCTCAAAACTCACTTCCCATCAAAGAACTCATACAGGGGAGAAACCCTATCAGTGTGTGGAATGTGGAAGGAGCTTCACACATAGCTCCTCTCTCACTTCCCATCAGAGAATTCATACAGGGGAGGAACCCTATCAGTGTGTGGAATGTGGAAAGAGCTTCAGGAGGAGCTCCAATCTCACTTCCCATCAAAGAATTCATAAAGGGGAGAAACCATATCAGTGCTTTGAATGTGGAAAGAGGTTCACTGGAAGCTCCTCTCTCAATTCCCATCAAAGAATTCATACAGGGGAGAAACCCTATCAGTGTGTGGAATGTGGAAAGCGCTTCAGGAGGAGCTCCCATCTCACTTCCCATCAAAGAATTCATACAGGGGAGAAACCCTATCAGTGCATGGAATGTGGAAAGAGCTTCAGTCAGCGCTCCAATCTCACTTCCCATCAAAGAATTCATACAGGGGAGAAACCCTATCAGTGTGGGGAATGTGGAAAAAGCTTCAGTCAGAGCGCCAGTCTCACTTTCCATCAAAGAATTCATACAGGGGAGAAGCCATATCAGTGTGTGGAATGTGGAAAGAGTTTTAGTGTGAGCTCCTCTCTCACTTCCCATCAAAGGATTCATACGAAGAGTGGAAAACCCTTCATTATACAGCTTTCAGCGCTAGAGAAAAACACACCACGTTAAACAGGCCTTTGGCTGATTGACATCTAATGCCCTTTTAAAATGTGGGGAGGTGGGGGTTACAGGTTTTGGGCTGTGTGTTTTGTGTTTTCATTGTGTGATTTTATGTTGCAACCGTCCTGAGACCTGTGAGTGTAGGGAATGGGAGCCAACTCTTAGAGTCTGAGGGGGTCTTTGCCCCCCAATAAGATATGTGAGGGGGCCACCCCCCAGTTCATAGGAACAGCCATTCAAATGGCATCCTTGCACTGCATACTGTGACTGTTTAACTGAGGCGGGGCTTACTAAACCCCTCCTATATTTTATTCCAGTTGGCAGCCCTGCTATAGGGCGCTATAGAAATGAAATAAATGCATAAATAAAATAACACCATCTTGATCGCCTTCATTTGCACATGTTCCAGCTTGTCAATATCCTTATTATTATCATTTTAAAATTTATGTGCCCATCATCTGAAGATTTCATGGTGATTCACAACATAAACAGACAGGTTGAAAGCATGGCTTTCTCAAAAACAAGTCAAGCCAGAGAAATCTCTCTTTTTTCTTTTTCTTTTTTTGGATGGAGTTACAGACTGTTTCTCAGGGGACTGCTGTGATAATTGTTGTTGTTTAGTCGTTTAGTCATGTCCGACTCTTCGTGACCCCATGGTCCAGAGCACGCCAGGCACTCCTGTCTTCCACTGCCTCCCACAGTTTGGTCCGACTCATGCTGGTAGCATCAAGAACACTATCCAACCATCTCATCCTCTGTCGTCCCCTTCTCCTTGTGCCCTCCATCTTTCCCAACATCAGGGTCTTTTCCAGGGAGTCTTCTCTTCTCATGAGGTGGCCAAAGTCTTGGAGCCTCAGCTGCAGGATCTGTCCTTCCAGTGAACACTCAGAGTCTTATTTCCTTCAGAATAGAGAGGTTTGATATTCTTGCAGTCCATGGGACTGTCAAGAGTCTCCTCCAGCACCAGAATTCAAAAGCATCAATTCTTCGGCGATCAGCCTTCTTTATGGTCCAGCTCTCACTTCCATACATCACTAATGGGAAAACCATAGCTTTAACTATACGGACCTTTGTTGGTAAGGTGATGTCTCTACTTTTTAAGATGTTGTCTAGATCTGCCATCGCCTTTCTCCCAAGGAGCAGGCGTCTTTTAATTTCGTGACTACTGTCACCATCTGCAGTGATCATGGAGCCCAAGAAAACAAAATCTCTCACTGCCTCCATTTCTTCCCCTTCTATTTGCCAGGAGGTGATGGGACCAGTAGCCATGATCTTCATTTTTTTGATGTTGAGCTTCAGACCATATTTTGCGCTCTCCTCTTTCACCCTCATTAAAAGGTTCTTTAATTCCTCCTCACTTTCTGCCATCAAGGTTGTGTCATCTGCATATCTGAGGTTGTTGATATTTCTGCTCTCACATGACACTGCTTGTCACATGACACCAACCACTATCATTTTTGTCTCAGCTATCGTGTCTTCCACCTCAAGAATCCTTTCTTGGGTCTAATCTTGAATTAATACATAAAACCACCCTCTCTCTCTCTTATCTGACAAGATGAATTCTTGACCTACAAAGGTCATCACTTCAATTTGTTGGCTCTTATCCAGTCCATTATCGAGGCAAAACACTGCTCCAGAGCATTGACTGCCTGACCTGCAGATGTCAAGGAGAAGAAGAACTGAGTGTCACCAGCAAATTGCTGACAACGTGCCCCAGATCTCTGGATAACCCCACCTAGTGGTTTCATGTTTCTTAGGGGATAAAATCAAACCCCAAGGAACCCCACATTGAAGTCTCCATGGGTCAAAGAGCACTTTCCAAGCATCACCCTGTGGAGATGCTCATCCACAAAGGACCAGGAGCACCACAAAGCGGCGTCACCCACCCCTAACTCAGACGGAGGACACCATGGCCAATGGTGATGGTATTATTATTATTATTATTAATTTGTGCACACCCATCACCATGGCAAGCTCTGTGCAAGGACCAGGACCCAGGACCAGGTTCTCAGATGGGCCATCAAGATCTTTTGAAATGTTAACACCACTATCCCAGGTGAGGCCCAGGCTTAGAAAGGAAGCTTAGCCTGTATTTTTCCACTGGCCCAGAGTCTTCCCTCCAGTACTCCAAATACAGTGGTACCTCGCAAGACGAATGCCTCGCCAGACGAAAAACTCGCAAGACGAAAGGGTTTTTGGTTTTTTTGAGTTGCTTCGCAAGACGTATTTCCCTATGGGCTTGCTTCGCAGGACGAAACGTCTTGCAAGTTTGTTTCCTTTTTCTTAAAACCGTTAATAGAGTTGCGACTTGACTTCGAGGAGCAACTCATAGCACGCGGTGGGGTAGCCTTTTTTGAGGTTTTTGAAGACTTTGGTGATTTTTGAAGCTTTTCCAAAACTTTTCCGAAACCGTGCTTCGCAAGACGAAAAAATCGCAAGACGAGAAAACTCGCGGAACGAATTAATTTCGTCTTGCGAGGCACCACTGTATCAAATTCCTACTATTTATTAATTTCAAGGTTTAGGGGTTCCCCTATAACACCATGTAATGAAGGCCTCCAGTGAGCCTTCCTGGGAAGAACATTCCCCAAATTGGGAGCCGCTGCAGAAAAGGCCTGCTCTCATGGAGGAGGCAGACAAAGAAGGGTCTATGACAGGGGTGTCCAAACTTTGTTCAAAGAGGGCCAGAATTGATGAAGTGAACATGCGTGATGGCCGACCAAAATCATTGACCTTCTTTTAGCATTGAAGTTGTTGAGCTTTTGGGGGGGATTTTACCCCAGGAAATAAACTGCCACAGCAGCTGGATTAAACAGACTGGTGGGCCAGATTAGGCCCCCGGGATAGACTTTGGACAAGCCTGGTCTAGGATGATGATGGTAGGGTCCGTGTTGGTTCATACAAGTGTGAATGCTTTGAAGTGGACCAAGCAGCCTCTTGCGAGTAAGAAGGCTCCTAGGGAGCTTTCTCAGTTGCTGGTGCAACCCCTCCACTCCACTCGTAGTAAAAGTATAAAGAGGGAACCGAAAGAATGAGCACACTAACTCCAATACTGGGATGAAGAAAATGGGAAATATTTGCTCTTGTTCTTGTGTGTGAGAGAGCAACCTCAGTAAAACTCAGAGTGAATAGGATTTCCACCCTAAGTCTTAGAAATGTTAAGAAAACTTTTGCCATAGGTTTTGGAGTTTTAAAGTCCACCCCCCCCCCCGCCGCCCGCATGTTTAAAATTGGCTTTGGAAACTTTAATTCTAAATTCAGAAGCTGCTGCCTAACTTTAAATGCAAGCGTGCTTAATTTTCTGACGATGTCTTCCATGTTTCCAAAGGAGAGAAAATTCTTCTAAGAGGCCGTGAAGTTGGGTCTGATCAGACTAAAATAGACGGGAAATTTCAAGAAAGAGGAAAAAATAACATTGTGTTCATTGTTTGAGAGAGGCTGGGAAAAATGCCATCTCCATGTGGTGGCAGTAGCAGCAGCGGAGGGAACTTGCATAAATGATGGAGGGGGGAACCAGAGAGATGGCTCTGTCCCACAAGGCCACACAATGAGCCAAGGGAAGAACATGGTAGTTGGTATCAGAATCTTGAGAGGTGATGTGTCATTTGTCTACTTTTCATGTGTTCTATGTTTTAAATAGAAGGCTGTATATTGTCTCCCTGCTTATTTAACTTATATGCGGAATTCATCATGCAAAAGGCTGGGCTGGATGAATCCCTAGCCGGAATTAAGATTGATAGAGGAAATATCAACAACCTCAGATATGCAGATGACACAACCTTGATGGCAGAAAGTGAGGAGGAATTAAAGAACATTTTAATGAGGGTGAAAGAGGAGAGCGCAAAATATGGTCTGAAGCTCAACATCAAAAAAACGAAGACCATGGCCACTGGTCCCATCACCTCCTGGCAAATAGAAGGGGAAGAAATGGAGGCAGTGAGAGATTTTACGTAGCCAGGGGGGCAGATCGCCCCCTAAATCCATAAAAAAAAAAATAGAAATCTGAGGTTCTGTCAAGCGAGAGAGGGCTGAGCTGGAAGGACTCGGCTTTGCAAGGGTTAAAGGGAACTGAGCTGCCTTCCTAGAGAGGACAGGAAGCAAGGGGGGCAGGTCCTCCAGAGCCAAGGCCCCTCCCTCCCCAGTCCTTTCCTGCAAGGAAGGGGGGGGGGTGTTGCTTTGTGTCTCTGCTGCAAGGGCTGCCTCGCTGCCCCTCCCGGGATCTGGTGAGTCTCCTCTCTCTCTGGGATCTGGTGGGGGTCCCAGGGCTGCAGCAGGGGAGGGGGCCTGGGGGGGGCCTGATCTGCTCCTGCAGGGGGGGACCCCAAGTCAGGGAGGAGAGGGTCCTGCCAGGGAGGGGCCAGGTCTGCCACGCTCTCCTTCCTGCAGATCAGAGGATCCCAAACTCATTTCACCCTCTGCCCCCCCTTCAGAAAAGATCTCCCTTCTTTAAACAAAGGAGTCCCTGGGAATTTAACTCTGTGTGACATCGCTCAGTGTCATTGCACAACAGAGGAAATATGTGCAAATGGTTTTCCAAAGCTGGACGAGGAGGTGGACTAGCCCCCCCCCAAAAAAAAGGTGGGAGAGAAAGGCCAGGAATAAAGAGAGGGATCCCAGCCCATAGCCTGGCTGCTGCATTGGGGACCAGTTTCCCAGTGTCTCCCAGGGCAGCTCCCCACGGAGGCCACTGCAGCAATCCCCTCGCACCCAGAGCAGGGCATCCCAGGACCACATCCTCTCTCTCCCAAAGGGATTGTTGCTGGCAAAGCAGCCGAGCCAGAAATGAGCGCTGCTACTCACTGAGCCTGCAGGGACTGTGTTAAGCTATCTAAGAGAATTATTATTATTATTATTATTATTATTTCCTGCCTAAATTTCAAGGGAGATGTATTTGACCCCACCCACCTGGCCCTCAGGGGTTGGCGAGATACATTCCTGGCCCTTGGAGCAAAGAAAGAGGGACCCCACCCCAGGAGTCTGCCTTGAGAGTGGCAGAGATTCCAAGTGTAAAAAAGGAGACAGAAGCAGGGGAGTGGGGGTGGGGGGGAGCAACTCCTGAGGACCCCCAGGTGAGGACCCCCACTAGAGCCAAACATCCATTATTCACAAGATACAAATGACTTCCTTGTCAGTCAGTTCTGACTTCATGCATTGACTGGAAGGCAACAGAAACCAGCCTGATTCTTCTCCTAGAAATCCTTTCAGTTGCCTCCACATTTTGCATTGCAATCTTTCTTCTAGGAGAGCTAGAGGCTGCTTCCTCCTCCTCCTCCTCCTCCTCCTCCTCTTCCTCCTCCTCCTCTTTCTTCTTCTTTTTAGAAAGGCCCTTTCCACCTGGCCTAGGGGGTGAGGCCCAGACTCACCCAGCCCTACTGTGTTAAATATGTATTCTGTAGTTGACCTCCTTTGTAATGTTTTATTTTGATATCTTTAAGAGAGTATTTGTTTTCTGTTATGTTGCTTTGACTATAGTCTATATATTTGACTTTCTTTACCTTGCTTTATTTCTCTTTTATTGCTTTTGTGGGATGTGAAACTGCAGTCAAGTAGAAGATTCCTACAGGGGACACATTAGGGGATGTTTTCTACCACTCAGGAGAAGACTTCCTGTTTCCTCCTGAGCTGGGACAGACTTCCACTACATGTGACTTGAAGAGGGTGCAGTCTGTTGTACTAGCATGGAGGAGCACACGGCCTCCATCTTCTGATCAGTGTGTCTTCTCCATTTTGTATGTTGCTGTGTGTTTGGAGAAGTGACTCTTTAGTGGCAGTCATTTGGGACTAAGTTCTTTATGGAATAGTTCTAGTTGTTATGTAACAACCTGCCTGTCTGTGAACGTGAACGAATCTGTGAGTAAACTACTTTTATATTAACGTGAATCAGATTATTGTGCTTATTCATTTAAAAGGGATTGGAAGGGATCTTACCAGGAAGTTATTTTTAATAGTAAGACTCAGATGAGTCAGCAAGAAGCTGATCGCTGCGTAATCTAAAAAAGGGGGATGTATGGAACTCTGCTAGAATATGGAACTTGCTAGTGCATGTTAGGAAGCATATCATTCAATAATATATCTTCTTCTAACTCCCCAATTATCTCCACAGATTTAATATGCTGTAAACCGCTTTGAGATTTCTCTTTAAAATATAAAGTGTTATAGAAATTTAAATAAATAAAATAGCTCATGGTTTGGGCTGTGGTGCAGTCCAGCCCTGGTTCCCTCCAAGACTCATCCATGCTTGCTCAGGGAACCTTTTTCTTCTCCTGATCTTAGACAACTTTTGTAACTGAACAATGTATTTGCTTTGTAGGATTTGTAGCGCCTCTCCTTAAGACAGACAGAACTTGGCAGAAGCCCAAAGGGTTCCTTCCGATCTCTCAGAGGCTTCCTGAGAGCACAGATGGATGAGCAAGACTCAGCTGGCCCTGAAGCAGGAAGAGGCCATGCCATCCAAACTGGGAGCAGTGGGGGGTTCTGGGAAAACTCTGTGCAGAAGATCCTGGGTGAGGAGGATACCCTCCGCTCAGAGGTGCAGAGCCAGCAGTTGAGGCAGTTCTGCTGCCAGGAGGCCAAAGGACCCCGAGAGGTTTGTAGCCGACTCTACCACCTTTGCCATCAGTGGCTGAAGCCAGAAAGGCACACGAAAGCTGAGATGCTGGACCTGGTGATCTTGGAGCAGTTCCTGGCTGTCCTTCCCCCGGAGATGGAGAGCTGGGTGAGGGAATGCGGAGCGGAGACCAGTTCCCAGGCGGTGGCCCTGGCTGAAGGTTTCCTCCTGAGTCAGGCAGAGGAGAGAAAGCAGGTGAGAGAGACTTTCCTCTGGATACTCCCAAGGGGCTCCAAACAGGACAGAGAACATCCCATTATGGTCTGCTGATGGCCCATCCTTTTTCTGAGAAGGCGTCCATGGAATGAGTTCTGACATCCTTAAAGCTGTTGGCCCTGACATTCATTTTTTATTTTTTATTTTTTTAATATATTTTTTATTAGTTTTCCAATATAAAACTATACAAAACAAAACATCCAATTTATCACCAACATCTTTTTTTTTACTTCCATCAACATGTCTGATAATTCTCCGTCTTGATCACTTCTTGCACATTTCTTAATTTAATATTGCACTACAATAATATCTTAATTTACCTTATTTTTTAAACAATATTTCTACCATACATTCTCACAGAGCTTCCTGAAAGCTTACAAATGTTATCTGGTCATCACATATAGTTTTCATATAATCTGTAAATTTAATCCAGTCTTCAGTGAATTTCTGGTCTTGTCGATTCCGGATCCTTCCTTTTAATTTATCAAGTTCTGCGTATTCCATTAATTTCATTCTCCATTTTTCAATCATAGGTAATTCTTCTTGTTTCCATTTTTGGGCCATTAGTATTCTTGCTGCCGTTACTGCGTATAAAAATAACTTCCATTCTTTCTTATTAATTTCATTTCCTATTATTCCTAATAGAAATGCTTCTGGTTTCTTAACAAATGTATATTTCAACATCTTTTGTAACTCATTATATATCCTTTCCCAAAAGCATTTCACTTTTTTACACTCCCACCACATATGGTAAAATGTTCCTTCTTTTTCTTTACAGTTCCAACATTTATTACTTACTTTATAAATTTTTGCTGATTTTACTGGTGTTACATACCATCTATATATCATTTTCATCACATTTTCCTTTATTATAGTACACGCAGTAAATTTCAGTCCTTCATTCCACAATTTAACCCAGTCTTTAAATTGTATATTATATCCAAAATCTTTGGCCCAATGGATCATAACCAATTTAACCTCCTCGTCCTTTGTATACCATTCCAATAATAATTTATACATTTTAGACAATTTTTTTGCGTCATTATTCAGTACTTCCAATTGATATTTTGATTCCTTGTCGGTAAAACCTCTTTCTAATACATCTTTTTTAAACATTTCATTAATGTTTTCGTCGCCTCCAAAGGAGGTTACCTGGCGGTCGGGGGAATCGCAAAACGGCTGTGCCGGGATCCTGCCCCCTGGATCTCCTTCCAGGGGTGTTTTAGGGGGCTGCGGCGCCCTTGCAGCACCCCCTTTTTCCTCCCAAGAGCTGGATTCCCTCTCCAGAGAGAAATCCCGCTTGTCTTCGCTCCCGCGATCAGCCGGAATTCTCTCTGACATTCATTTTTAAATCCTTCTCCCCATTCTCTCTTTTGAATCCTTGTTTCTTTTTCAGGGAAAGGATCTCTTTGCAGAAATGGACCAGATTTCTTCTGAGGCAGAGAGGCCTCCGCTGAACACCAGAGAGAGGCCACTGGGTAAGGAGGAAGTTGGTGTTTCTCTGTTTGGTCTCATTCTGTTGGTTTTCCAACTCATCAGAGGAGGGGAGATATATTTTTTCACACATAACATCTCTAATGCACCCAAATATCCAAATGCACTCAGCAGGCAAGACTTTCTCAAAGGCCCCTGTGTAGTTTGAGATGCACTGATTCACCTGTGAGACAAGAAGGCACTCTAGGCCTCCCCCTTACCTTCTTCCTCTTGCAGGTAACACAGTGATACTGGCTAGACCTGTTCATCCATCTCTGAATGGGGACAGAATGGAAGCAGCGGCTGTGGAACCAGATCAGGTCAGGGGAAGCAGCCTTGTGGGGACAGAGGCCAAGGGGTGGAACAATGTCCTAGCTCAAGGAGTGGTGGTGAACAACAGTGTTGTCTCAGAGTAGGACATTTCCCTTCTTCTTATAGGGTCCAGTGTGCTTTGAAGATGTTGCTGTTTGTTTCACGGATGAGGAGTGGGCGTTGCTGGATCCTGACCAGAGAGCTCTGCATAAGGGCGTCATGGAGGAGAATTCTGGGATCATGGCCTCTCTTGGTAAGACTCCTAGTGGAATCATAATATCAGTTTTTAAATTCAAAACTCCATATGTCACGAACCTCATATATTTTCACAGACCTCAACAGCGCCCCCTACAACACTGGATATTACAGTATCCCCCCCAAAAAAAAACCCCTTGAATAGTAAATTACTGTTTTTTCTGTGAATGTTCTTCCTCCCGTTGCAGCTTATTAAACAAGCAGCAGCCTGGTCTGAACTCCCCAGGCCCTTTTGACTGTAAACTTCAGAGTTGTTAGGGAAGTTGAAGTAGCTTCTGTCAGGTTTTCAGTTTTTGTTTTTCCTCCCGTCAGTCTTTGGTTGTCCAAAGAGAAGAGTGACATTGGAAACGGAGGGATGCCATGATGGAGCCAAACAAAATCGATTCAAGAGAAGAGCCAGGCTTATCGAATCACAGGTTCCCCAAAGGATGTCGGTTGATCCCCGTTAATTAATGCACCCAACGCTTCAGAAAACCATCCATCTAACCCACTTGTGTTATTCCTCTATTACCAGAGTTAACAAGTATTCTTCATTTATTTCTCCCTGAGGCGCTAATCCACTTCTCTTCATTGCAGATAGTGATGGACTGGAAATTAACAACATGGGTGACCATAACAAAATCCCCACAATGGAGAAGCTGAATAAATATCTTGAATGTGGGAAAAGTTCCTTTTCCACTTCCCATCAAAGAAATCCCATTGGGAAGAAAGCATATCAGTGTGTGGAATGTGGAAAGAGATTCAGTCAAAAGGTCAATCTCACTTCCCATCAAGAATTCATACAGGGAAGAAACCATATCAGTGCATGGAATGTGGAAAGAGATTCAGTCAAAAGGTCAATCTCACTTCCCATCAAAGAATTCATGCAGGGGATAAACCCTATCAGTGTGTGGAATGTGGAAAGAGCTTTCAGTCGGAGCTCCTCTCTCACTTCCCATCACAGAATTCATACAGGGGAGAAACCCCATCAGTATGTGGAATGCGGAAAGAGCTTCACTGATAGCTCCTCTCTCACTTACCATCAGAGAATTCATACAGGGGAGAAACCCTATCAGTGTGTGGAATGTGGAAAGAGCTTCACTTATAGCTCCTCTCTCACTTACCATCAGAGAATTCATACAGGGGAGAAACCCTATCAGTGTGTGGAATGTGGAAAGAGCTTCAGTCAGAGTGCCCATCTCACTTCCCATCAAAGAATTCATACAGAGGAGAAACCCTATCAGGGTGTGGAATGTGGAAAGAGCTTCACTCATAGCTCCTCTCTCACTTCGCATCAAAGAATTCATACTGGGGAGAAACCCTATCAGGGTGTGGAATGTGAAAAGAACTTCAGTACAAGCTCCTCTCTGAGTTCCCATCAAAAAATTCATACAGGGGAGAAACCCTATCAGTGTGTGGATTGTGGAAAGAGCTTCAGTCACAGCAGCAGTCTCACTTCCCATCAGAGAATTCATACAGAGGAGAAACCCTATCAGTGTGTGGAATGTGGAAAGAGCTTCAGGAGGAGCACCGAACTCACTTCCCATCAAAGAATTCATACAGGGGAGAAACCCTATCAGTGCTTTGAATGTGGAAAGAGCTTCAGTCACAGCCACCATCTCACTTCCCATCAGAGAATTCATACAGGGGAGAAACCCTATCAGTGCTTTGAATGTGGAAAGAGCTTCAGGAGGAGCACCGAACTCACTTCCCATCAAAGAATTCATACAGGGGTGAAACCCTATCAGTGTGTGGAATGTGGAAAGAGCTTCACTCATAGCTCCTCTCTCACTTCGCATCAAAGAATTCATACTGGGGAGAAACCCTATCAGTGTGTGGAATGTGGAAAGAGCTTCACTGAAAGCTCCAATCTCACTTCGCATCAAAGAATTCATACAGGGGAGAAACCCTATCAGTGTGTGGAATGTGGAAAGAGCTTCAGGAGGAGCACCGAACTCACTTCCCATCAAAGAATTCATACAGGGGAGAAACCCTATCAGTGTGTGGAATGTGGAAAGAGCTTCACTGAAAGCTCCAATCTCACTTCCCATCAAAGAATTCATACAGGGGAGAAACCCTATCAGTGTGTGGAATGTGGAAAGAGCTTCAGTCAGAGCTCCTCTCTCACTTTCCATCAAAGAATTCATACGAAGAGTGGAAAACCCTTCATTATTCAGCTTTCAGCACTAGAAAAAAACACACCACTTTAAACAAGCCTTTGGCTGATTGACATCTTATGCCCTTTAAAAATGTGTTGGGGAGGTAGGGGTTACAGGTTTTGGGGGCGGTGTTTTGTGTTTTCATTGTGTGATTTTATGTTGTAACTGTACTGTGACCTGTGAGTGTAGGGAATGGGAGCCAGCTCTTAGAGTCTGAGGGGTCTTTGCCCCCCAGAAAGATATTTGTGGGGGCCACCCCCCAGTTCATAGGAATAGCCATTCAAATGGCATGCTTGCACCGCATCCTGTGACTGTTTAACCGAGGCGGGGCTTACTAAACCCCTCCTATATTTTATTCAACATGGCACCCCTACTATAGGGTGCTATAGAAATGAAATAAATGCATAAATAAAATAACACCATCTTGATTGCCTTCATTTGCACATGTTCCAGCTTGTCAATATCCTTATTATTATCATTTTATAATTCATGCACCCTTCATCTGAAGATTTCATGTTGGTTCACAACATAAACAGACAAGATGAAAGCATGGCTTTCTCAAAAACGAGTCAAACTAGAGAAATCTCTCTTTTTTCTTTTCTTTTTTTGGATGGAGTTACAGACTGTTTCTCAGGGGACTGCTGTGGTAATAGTGCATCTTAATTTCAGTAAGGTTTTTGACAAAGTCCCCTGTGATATTTATGTGAGGAAGCTGGTAAAATGAGGCTGAATGAGGTAACTGTTAGGTGGATTTGACTGACCGAACCCAAAGAGGACTCCTTCATGGTTCCTCCTCATCCTGGGGAAAAGTGACCAGAGGGGTGCTGCAGGGTTCTGTCCTGGGCCCGTTGTTGTTCAACGTCTTTATAAATGTCTTGGATGAAGGAACTGAGGGGATGCTCATCACATTTGCAGACGACACCAAACAGGGAGCGGAGGCCAATGTGGCAGAAGGTAGAATCAGATCAAGGGCAGGAATAGTACCACTTTATTCTGCCATGGTCACACCCCACCTAGAATACTGTGTTCAGTTCTGGGCTCCACAATTTAAGTATATTAAATTTTGTTTGCCAGGGGAAATCAAGAAGGTGAGGGGACACAATCCATATTCCTTTTATAACATGTGGCCAATTTTATTGAATATGTAAGTTGTTAAGACTTTTGCCGTAATCCACCCAGCACTCATGGGAAAGTGTGGCGTGATCTTTTAGAGTAATCAAATGAAACTTGTAACACATGGCAGGATGAAAGCCTGCAATTCCATCAGGAGAAGTTATTTGTTGTTTACTGTTGTAACCATTGCTTTCTTTAAAATTATCTTCCCTACCATGAAAATAAATAAAAGCAATTTTTTTAAAGGAAGTGGGGAAATCATATGTACTATTGCATTAATCTGCTTGCATATCTTGAGTGTTATTTGGAGTCTGTAACTCCCAGTTATTTCATATTATCGATGTGTTTCTGTGTGTTCAGCACACATGATTGCAGGTGATACTGAATAAAAGACTTCCTAGGAAATTCCCTTTGACTGCTTCTGTATTGTTTCAAATGTGGCTTCACTTACAGATAAGAACAAATCATATTCATTGCTGACAAATCATACCATTGTCAGCTCATTAATCTCCACCCCAACAAACGCTGCGCTTAGCATGAGCAGCTGCTTTCTTCCCATTTCTTAGGTGAAAAGAACTGATAATGACAATGAAGAAGGGAGATAGACCCTTTCCCTCAACCTTTGGGGATCTGGGGGGCTTCATTTCACCCCTTAGTCCTGCTCCTGAAAGCTTGGCAGATGTGGAGTATTTGCTCACACTCTGCCATGACTTAAAAATCAACCTTTTTATTTTTTAAAGAAATGGTATTGCAGTGCTAAGAAGTCTCAAGAAAGCAATTCCTGTAGTAGCTGGCATCTTAGCGAGCCCAGTGCCACTCTGCCAACTGTCTCACTCCCAGCTAACTAATCTGGAAAGCTGTCTTGTCATCTCTGTCTGTAAAGACTTCCGTGTCCCTTGAATTCAGAATTAAGCATTTCTGGAAGAGGAAATGATATGCTTTTGTTTAGAAAGCACTAATACTGGGCCACTGAATGTGCAACCTGCCAGCCCTGCCCTGTAGGAACCTCCAACTTTAAAGATTGATCTTTTGGTGTGGCAGCAAGTGTACTTTGGAACTCCCTGCCACTTGACATCAGGCAAGAGGCTTCACGGTCCACTTTGCAGCATTCAACTTTGTTACCGTTGCTGAGTTTGTGATAGCTAAATATTGAGGAGAAAGAAGCCAATCTCCTATGTATATCTGAATAAATTGAGAAAGTCTGGTTTTCAGTAACTACGATTAAGCTAAGTTAAAATGCTAATATTCACCCCAACTTTCTAAGCACCTGCACAGGCATGTTTTTAGGAGGTTCCCCAAAAAGGTGGGAGGGAGGCGCCTGCTTGATCTCAAGAGGCAGGGAGATCCAAAGGGTCTGTGCTGCCATACGAAACAATTGAGGTCTTGCGTGGCACCTGTAGTTGAAGCGGTCGAGTGTCTGCCTGTGGGGTAAGGAAGGGATCTCATGGGTAAACTCTTCCCTATGATAATGGAAAGGCCTTGATCTGGTCCTGGTAGCCAATGGGCAACCAGTGATGCCCTCTGAGCCAAAGGGTCATATGCCGAGAAGGCCTCGCTTTGACAGCAATCGTGCTGCAGCATTCTGCACCAGCTGAAGCTTCTGGACCAAGCGCAAGGGATACCCCACATGGAGAGCACTGTGGTCATCCAGCCTTGAAGAAGCGAAGGCGTGAGGCCAGGCTCTCCCGGTCCTGGAATGTGGAACCATCTGCAGTTGCTCAAAGGCACTTCCAGCCACTGAGTCTGCCTGAGTCTCGGCTGGATCCGGAAGCAGCTCAAAGTCCCACGAGGTTCATCACCATCATTTTTAATTGTATACCGTCTTTCTACCTTACAATACTCAAGGCGGTTTACAAGCTGAAGAAACAAAAATGTACATCTTATAACAACCTAATGCAATACAAAAATGAGATAATAAAACGTTAAAATAAGCAACCTTCATCAAAAAGTAACATTCAACAATTATTAGTATGGTATAAAATAATAATATAAAAATATAAAAGTTTAAACAGAAGTCCACTCAATAGTTACAATAAATAATTTCTAAACTGTAATCAGTAAAACAATGGCAAGGCACACTACATAAAATAATACAATACAAATGGAGAAGCAGAGACTAGAGGATGGTTCATATGGAGAGTGTGGGAATGTTCTGGGGTGCAGGAGAGGATATATTGACTAATTATATCCTTATCCAACTTGTGCTAACAAGTTCCCAAAATATCAGCAGAGTTTATAGACATTCCCCTTTAAGTTCGCAACGGTAACGTGTGCACAGGTTCGCTAGAACCTCTATAATAATTACTCTGGTAATTTCCCCTTTATTCCCTCTTAATTATTAATCCATGGGTCGGAATAATTGTTGCACCCGAGCAGAGACAAAAGGAGCTAAACGACACCAAGGGGTTAATCCAGAGAAAGAGCGTTTTATTCTGCCATCCGGGGGGGGGGCAGAGGCACCTGTGTGATTCAGTTCACAAAAGACAGGCCGCGCCGAAACATTTACAAGCAGGTTTTATCCTTTTTTCAAACCCCTTTTTTCTCTCCCCCTTCACAGATTCTTACATAGAAATGTTGCTTTTCGTTCTCTGGCTCTGTTCCCGGAAGTATGTTGCAAATCAATGTACCAGGACAAGGTTAGCTTGGATCTGGGAAGCGAAAGCTTTACTGTTCTCAGCTCTGAGTTGTTACAGCGTTTTTGTTACAGAGAGGACTGCTTAGCTCATGCTTTTTGTCTTAGAGGAAAATGCAGTTTTTAAAATGCGTACTCCGAGGCCTGGCTGGGGGGGGGGGATTCACAAACAGTTTTTAGGGCTTTCTGGGGTAACCCTAACTGTACCCCTTCATTCCATACCTCTCAATTTTGGACAGCCTTTTTTCTTAAAAACGCTCGTCCCAGGAAGGCACAGGCTGATATTCTCGGGTCAGAGCTATAATCTGGGGGCGAAGCATGCGAGAAATCATATTGCGTGTCATTGTATGCAAGCATTGCAGGAAGCAAGGTACAGAAAAGCAAAAAATTAGCAAAATGAAAAGTGGGCCAAGCAGCAGTAAAAACAGGCCTTTTGCCCATCCTAGGTTTGGCAACTAGTCAAGCCATGACATGTCCCATCCCTCCCAGGTTTGGGTAGGAATATGGGCCACTGTTTCAAGTCCTGCTGCCAAATTGCGAATGGCCTCACCATGATCAGAGATGTTAAAGCAGCAGGCCCCACCTGTGAGATTTAACGCTGCACAAAAACCGCCATGTTGCGCCAGAAGAAAGTCCAACGCTAATCGGACTGAGAGAAACGCATTGCGTGTCTCATCCAATTGCGTGGCAATTAGCCTAAGGGCTGTGGCTGTCGTGTTAGCAACAATCTCTACCACTGCCTGGAGTCTGATTATGCGGTTCAAGTTATAGATCGGCCCCCTTGCTCCAGAGATTTTCTCTCTCCGATTCCATGAGGCTGGAGCATAATGGGCCAATATCCTTTCCGGAGGCCACTGATTTTTGCCCCAATTCTGGGAGCTGCCACCTGCAAGTGTTGCCAGGTCAGCCGAACGCCTCCTTCTAGGGGGTGCAGAGGGTATCTGGTCAGGAATCCACATGGGGGTATTAAGTAGACTGGAAAACAGACCCCATACCATCCTCTTGGGAGGGCATGATAGGCCTTCCTGCCACACACCCAGTAAACGTCCTGACCATGGGCAGATATGGTGCCTCTCAGCAAGCGGGCCAGGCATGCAGTCAAATTGGAACCAGAAAAGGTTCCTGTCTCGGACTCAGGCATGTTAGTTGGGGCTGGGAAGGTACAATCACAGTGGGAAGTGCCCACATAGGTCTGAGCGTCACTGGCGTCATTTGATTTGTTGACACAAAGGCAGCCAGTGATCCTGTGAACCTGGAAAGGGACAGAATGATTCCATAAAGAAGAATGGTTGCCCAGAGACTGGAAGGCAACAAGTGGAGTTGTAACCAAGGATTCATTCCAAGGCACAGGGAGGAGTGGCATTCCTCCGAGAGCATCTACAGGGGCCAGAGTGCAGACGGCACAATTGGTCCGATTTGCAGAGAACGCAACCATCTCAGCAACCTGAATCCATTTATTATATGTGTGGTGGGCCCCCCACGATTGCAGCAGTTGCCTGGTCACTGTGAGTGGTATTGGCATTTCAAAGGTCAAAGGCAGCAGAAATACCAGCACGGGGACCCACAGTCGTATTTTAGCCATTGTATGCACGGGGAGGGGCTTAGGTAAGTGCTAGAGAGTGGGCTGGGGTGTAATCACGCTGAAAGAAAAGACCCACTAGACACCCTCCTCTGCAGGGGTGGCGTAAAGCAAACCAGGTCCAGGTACCTTCAATAAAGTTCAGTTATGCAAAAGGAAAGGAAAGAAAATGTCCCCTTTCAATCCATGCTGGATTCTTGAGCCGTGCAAAACGCCAGCGTCCAGGAGTGACGTTTAGCAGGGCTGTAGTCTGGTGGGCGTCGGGTCATCTGGTGGGCGTTGGGCATCTTGGGTCCCTTCCAACAAGGCTGGAGCGATGTCTGGGCATCTGGGTCCTCTTCACCTGGTTCATAGGGATGCAGAGGTATGCTGGCAAAAATCCACCTGTTAAGAGAAGAGATAACAAAGACGGCAGCGATTGCACAGAACAAATTGATAGATAACATTTGCACATAAGGTATATCAACTCAAAGGGGATGCTTGGCAGGAAACTTTGCAAGAGGTTAACAGTTCTGTTCCTTGGGTTAAGTTTGCCAGCCGAGATTTTTAAAAGTCTCATTCATGTGCTCTAAGTTTCAGAGCTCTCGTGGCCTGTAAGCCATGTTGCAAATTTCAGTTGATTTGCCAGTGTCTGTATAAAGAACAATGTGCCCCTTGCTTCTGGCAAAGTTTCAAATTCCTCAAAGTATCAATTCCTATGCCGCAGCTCCTTTCAGAGTAAAATTGCACATTAAAAAGAAAAACTTGACAAAGTTCACAGAAAGCATTCACTTGCTTTTTAAGAAAATCACTTTTCCAGGTTAGTACTTTGGGGCAGAGGGTGGGTAACCCTTGGCATTCTGGGTTTTTTCGCTTGACTGTAAATCCTAATTGGCTTCAGGCAGTAGCAGGTCAGAGTAGCTGGCTGAATGCAGCAGTGTCCTTCTGAGATAGCTGCCAAGAGATAAGCTACTCCAAGCACCTGACACAAGGGGGGAAAAAGCTGATGTCCTGTTACTTTCATGAATGAATGTTAGAAACAGTTAGTTCACTTGCTTCTAGCTGCAGCAGTCTTTCAGCAAGAACAGAGATGAGAAGAAATCATTTTTGAGAAATCTTATTGTTCCCAGCCTGCTTTCCAAAATTACTCCTGGAGGCTCATTGTGCAGCTGAAAAATCTCAGATAATTTTGCCATATTTGTAGGCCTTTTCGCTGCCCGTCTCATGCCTTCTAAAACATTTCTGTGATAAGTCTCTAAGGCCGCCCTTCCCTCTGTAGTATTGTAATCTCAAGGGGGGTCCGCCTGGGGTAAGAGACCTCAATTGCAGCGTCAGTATTATTTGCTGCCTTGAGCTGTTCCCTGGCACAGGCATTTACCTTGCAGACCTCCTCAGTGGTCAGAATTGTGTCCAAAAGCTGACTTATATCATCATAAGTAGGCATATAGGTTTTGAACACACCTTCAAAAAGTCTAATTATTTTTGCAGGATTTTCCTCAAAAGAAGGATTTTGATTTTTCCAATTGCAAATATCGGAGCTTGTAAAAGGGACATGTTGAATGGTAAAGGTCCTTGGGGGTCGAACGCCCTGACCATTTGGCTGTTCCAAAGGATCATACACTTGCCTAAGAGGGGCCACCACAGTGGGCTTGGACAAAGCCTTAGATTTAAGTGTCTCTACATGTTTTGTTGCCCTGTCCCACGCTGTTCTCAAAACCTTTTGCTTTTTTCTCCAATTCTCATCCTGGCACTGGGCTGCTTCTAGAACCCAGGGGGCCACATCCAGTTCTGTTTTAAACGGTTCTACATACTGGAACACTCTGTCAGACTGCTTACTAGTCCATCTTATCTCTTTATCTAGAGTTTTTCTGAAGTCATCATCATCATCATCATCACCTTTCTCTTCACCTTCCTGGCTTGCATCACAAGGGGGTTGGGGAGGGGCAGAGGGGGGAATCTTCTCATTTGGGTCCTCAGTCTGGGCATTGGGCGGAGAAGCAGCCCTATTTGCTCCCAGATTTGGTTGCCTTGGCGCAGTTGCTGCATATGGTGGTGGGGGGGGTAATTATCTCCTCTTCTAGGACTGGCAAAACTGGTGGCTTCTTAACTTGTAATTGTACTGAACACAGTTTGACTTGGGCAGTCACAATTCTATTTGTCCGAAGCCATGAGGGATTTTGATCCACATTGGCTTTCCAGATAGAAATATAGGGAATCTGATCTGTGTGAGCCTTGAAAATGTTACTCCATAAAATGTTGACCAAGTTTGGATCAAAGGATCCTCCAGGAGGCCATTCTGGTAAATACAAAGTCCAGTCAACTTCACATAAATGTTGGAGTCTGCTTTTTTTGAGTTTACATCCCCACTCTTCTGCTTTCATGGCACTTTTCCAGTTTTCCAGAAAGCTCTGTAGTGGTGTCTCAAGGATTGTTTTACTTCTTTTATTTCCCATGACTCTGGGATCCTGGGGACACTGGGACACTCAGCCCTCCTAACGTTATTTTTTTTCACTCAGTCACAGGTCAGACGTTGCTGTCAACGTCTCACACACTCAAAACATTCACTGGAGTGTCCCCACACGCACATTCAGAAAAAAACAAAAACAAAAACAAAACCCATGCACCTCCCCCAATCCCTTTCCCCCCAAAACCACAACCGGCAGCGCTTAGACTTCGACCGGGGCCCAAGAGCACCTTTTACTGCTTCTTCTGGGCACAAAAACCAACCACAACCGGCAGCGCTTAGACTTCGACCGAGGGCCAGCAGTACCCTTTACTGCTTTTTTTCTGGGCACAAAACCAACAACCAACCACAACCGGCAGCGCTTAGACTTCGACCGGGGCCCAGCAGTACCCTTTACTGCTTTTTCTGGGCGACACCAAAACCAGTGGCACTTCTTCTACCCTGCTGGCGGAGCTGATCAGGCTCTCTTTTTGCTCGCACCTATCCTTGTGGAGCTTGCTCCCACCTATACCCTGTGGAGCTTACCTTTTTCCTCAAGGTACCTTCTTTCTGCACGGCCGTTGCTCTTTCTCTCCGTCACTTTGTCGCGTGTCCACTCAGGAACGGGTGGCCAGTTCCTCCCACGAAGTTGGCAGGATGCGCGCTGGAACTGTTGACCCGGTATCCCGAGCTGCTCGCCTTGCAGTGACGCCCTGGACCTCTTTGTCCCTCGATCTCGGGGAACGTGCTTTTCCCGGCCAACGCACCAGAAATATGTAGCCTTATTAATCCATGGGTCGGAATAATTGTTGCACCTGAGCAGAGACAAAAGGAGCTAAACGACACCAAGGGGTTAATCCAGAGAAAGAGCGTTTTATTCTGCCATCCGGGGGGGCAGAGGCACCTGTGTGATTCAGTTCACAAAAGACAGGCCGCGCCGAAAACATTTTACAAGCAGGTTTTATCCTTTTTTCAAACCCCTTTTTTTCTCTCCCCCTTCACAGATTCTTACATAGAAATGTTGCTTTTCGTTCTCTGGCTCTGTTCCCGGAAGTATGTTGCAAGTCAATGTACCAGGACAAGGTTATCTTGGATCTGGGAAGCGAAAGCTTTACTGTTCTCAGCTCTGAGTTGTTACAGCGTTTTTGTTACAGAGAGGACTGCTTAGCTCATGCTTTTTGTCTTAGAGGAAAATGCAGTTTTTAAAATGCGTACTCCGAGGCCTGGCTGGGGGGGGGGGATTCACAAACAGTTTTTAGGGCTTTCTGGGGTAACCCTAACTGTACCCCTTCAAAAATACAAGACACAACACAGTCTTTATAAAAGTATAAAAGAGTTTACTCACGATCTGTTCACAATATGATCCCAGACGGCAGACAGGCGTAAAAAGGTTACATATACTTAGAATCTATCTTGTTGCAAGATAGACCTTATCTCCTCTCTTGGCTGAGAGCCAAGAGGGCATCTTTACATGCTTCCTCCTCGAAGGAAAATGGCAGAGAGAGAGAGATGGCTGCCTGCCCTGTGCTTTTGTCATTACCTGCACAGGTGAGGCCACACCCACCTCTGGTCACATGTGGAGGAAGTCCGTCCCCAGGAAGTTTACCTGCTTGCTGGACAGACATCCCTCCCCATGTTGTAACATGTACACTCTAGGAATGTTGTCATTGACTGCTCCTGTGTTTACATCCCACAGAGAGAACCTTTGGCTTACCTTATTTACTTAATATTAGGTTGGCCAAATCCTTAGGACCTTCAGGAAACCCAAATTTCAGATTGCATTGCAGAGAGGGAGTTCTGTGTGTCTTTATTTGTTGCAAAGAAGAAGAAGAAGATTTTTATTTATACCCCCCCCCCCCCGGCCAAGAACGACTCAGGGTGGCTAACACCAAATATAAAATGTTGTGACGTGGGCTGGAGACAGTTCTCTAGTAACACTTCTTTATTAAAGCAAACAAGACTGAGGAGGGGAGAGCTACATTTATAGGGACAGGGGACTAGCTAGAAAGGATACATTTTGGAGGGAACAATATCAGGCAATCACAGTCCTGCCTTTTGCAGAAAACCAATAAGACAGAGGATCCAAATACAGCAGCTTAAATGAACCAATAGTAGCTGTACCCTCTGGAACCAAAAGGCAGTTACTTTACCCTAATGCAAATACAGACAATAATAATACAGATATAAAATCCTTTGACTCAATACACAACACCCCTCCCCCCCTAGTGAGCACAGCAGACGTAATCTCTCAGGTACTGTGGGGTCCTACAACTTCTACTTGATCTCCTGACAACAGGTGTTGCCGGTTCTGGATTGGGTGTTACCTGTGGTAGGGGGGCTGCTCTAGGGGTTTCGTCAGGAACAGATGGAGTCCCAGACATCTCAGGGTCCCCTACCTGTACCTCGTCATCATGAGGACTAGCAGACCCTGGTTCATTTTCTGAAGCCCCTGGTGACTGCACCTCTGGGCCATTTTCACTCTGGTCTTGCAGCTCTGCGTCATTAGCCAGGGATGGATTATCTGACTCCTCCCTGCTGAGCGCCCGGCGCCTCAGCTGATCTATATGTCTCTTCCACACTTGCCCATTTTCCAAGATCACATAATAGGACACAGGTCCACTAGCCCGGGTGACCACACCAGCCACCCACCGCGAACCTCGTGAATAGTTGCTCACCCAGACCAGATCTTCAGGGCCGAGATACCTTGTTGTGTCAGTCTCAGCCTGGGGGGTTGCTCTTGAATTACAGTTTGGCATTTTATCCAGGTGGACATAATCCAGCACCGTTACCAGTCTTCTACCCAAGAGCAGCTCAGCTGGCGACTTGCCCGTCGCAGTACACGGCGTCTCATGCTGCAAAAATAACATTCGCGCGATGCGAGCTGACCAGTTACCCTCCATTAAGCACGCAATGGGATTCTTTGGCTGTTCTTACCATGCACTCAGCCTGTCCATTGGAGGATGGGTGAAAGGGCGCGGATGTGACCCCTCTTATGAAGTTATCAGCCAAGAATGCCCTTAATTCTTGGGATACAAAAGCTGCCCCATTATCTGATACAATGGTCTCAGGTAATCCGTGGGTTGCAAACAGCTGCCTCAACACCTTGATTATGGCAGCTGATGCCATGCTAGGGACCATCGCCACTTCTAACCATTTGGAATATGCATCGACGATAACCAAAAAGACCTTCCCCTGGAATGGCCCAGCAAAATCTAAGTGCAGCCGGCTCCAGGGAGATCTGGACTGCTCCCACCAGTGAACTGGTGCTCTGGCCACTTCTGGCCGCACCTCTTGGCATGCCTTGCATGTTCGTACCCATTGTTCTATGTTCTGGTCCATTCCAGGCCACCACACATAACATCGGGCTAGCGACTTCATCCTGACCATTCCCGGGTGTCCCATGCGAAGCGTCTAAAGAACCCTGTTTCTCAGTGGTGCTGGGATGATCACCCTATCTCCCCACAGGAGACAACCCTTATGCATGGACAACTCGTGCTGCCTTGTCGCATAAGGCCTGAATTTATCTTCATGTGGACCACCTGGCCCCCCCCTCCCCACCCAAGTGAGCACACGGGAGAGAACAGCATCTTTCCTCGTTTTCTCAGCTATATCAGTAGCCGTTACAGGAGCCCCCGGAAGTGTTTCCAGCATCATTATGTGCTCCGCTGGAGCAGGATCCTCATTGTTCCCGCCAGGAAGGGGCAATCGACTCAGCACATCAGCGTGGCACAACCGTTTCCCCGGCACATGGGTCAAGGTGTACTGGAACCCGTTCAGGAATATAGACCAACGCAACATTCTGGGGGAGAGAATTTGTGGCGTTTGTTTGTTCGGGTTGAACAACCCTAACAGTGGTTTGTGGTCCGTTTCAATGGAGAAATGGCGACCGTACACCTAATCATGGAACTTCTTTATTCCTGCCACAATTGCAAGCGCCTCTTTGTCAATTTGAGCATAGCTGCGCTCCGTGGGCGACAACGTACGGGAATAGAAAGAGATGAGCTTTTCCGACCCATCCGGTTCCCTATGACTCAGCACCGCCCCAAGGCCGTATTGAGAGGCATCACATGCCAGGACCAGCGGCTTTGACTCATCATAATGAGCAAGGACGCTCCTGCTACTCAGCATTCCTCGCAAGGAGTCAAAAGCCTTCTGCTGCCCCTGCCCCTATCGCCACACATTCTTTTTCTGCAACAGTCTATGTAACGGTTCAGCTACCAAAGCTTTCTGGGGTAAGAACAAATGATAAAAGTTAATAAGTCCCAGGAATGACTGCAACTCCATCTTGTTCTGTGGTCGTGGTGCCTCGATGATGGCCTTAATCTTAGCATCTGTGGGGTGGATGCCTGATGCATCAATTTTAAACCCCAAGAAATCCACAGTTGGCACCCCAAAACTGCATTTTTCCTTTTTCAGTTGCAACCCCACCTCCTTGAACTTGAGCAACACTGCACGGACACACGCAACCAGTTCCTGTGGGTCTTTCCAGCAATCAAAACGGCATCAAAAAATGGCAAGACCCCTGGCAGACCTCTTAACAGGCGTTCCATGAGCCCTTGAAAATCCCTGGGGCCACACAACTCCAAATTGTAATCTGTTAACTCTGAACGCCCCTTTATGTGTGACAATAGTCTGTGCTTTCCGCTGATTGTGGGCTTACTGGCAGCTGTTGGTAAGCTTGTGCCAGGTCAATTTTGGCGAACACCTTGCCCCCAGCCAGTTTAGCCAACAGATGTGATACGACTGGAATGGGGTATGAGTTTCCCCTGAGTGCCTTATTGATAGTACATTTGTAATCTGCACAGATCCTGACTTCCCCATTTGCTTTAAGGGGCGTGACGATTGGAGTCTCCCACTTAGCAGAGTCCACGGGTGAGAGAACTCCCTGCTTGACCAATTTATCCAGCTCTGCTTCGATCTTGGGTTGCAGTGCAAATGGCACTCGCCTTGGTTTGAGTCGGATTGGGGCCACCCCAGGGTCCAACTCGAAGTCAACTGGGGGCCCTTTATAACAACCCAGTTTTCCATTAAAGAGACCAGCAAATTCTTTGCATAATGCCTCGCTCATCTCAGGGCAGGTTTGGATTGAATTAAGCCCTGATATACTCAGTCCCAGGGCGGGGAACCAGTCAGTGCCCAGGAGACTAGGGCGACTGCCCTTCGCAATCACCAGTTTGAGTACAGCCTGTTTGTCCCGGAACTGTACTCTCACGGCACACATTCCCATAACATGGATGCGGCCCGCTGAGTATGACTGCAAAGTTGCCGGGAAGGGCTCCAGAGGGGGCAACTTACCCCTGGGGAAGAATGTCCTCGCGGTCTGGTCCGACACGATAGTGAATCCAGATCCGGAGTCCACCTCCATGTCGCACAGCTGACCCTCAATCTTCACCTTGACGTGTGCCTTGCCTTGCGCTGGGAACTGCACGACCCTCCCGTTGATCTCCGTTACGTAGTGACAGTCCTTTAGAACATGGTTTGCTGTGGGCGGTCTGCGATGCTCCAGTCTAGGTGCTCCTGTTGCTCCCAACGCCGCCGATCTACAGACCCTGGCGATGTGACCTGTCTTCCCGCACGTCCGGCACATAGCATCCCGGAAACGACAACTCTTCCGCTCATGGTTTCCGCCACAACCAGGGCACCTGCCTCAGTGATCTTTGTGCACTGTGCAGGCCTGACGCACTGACTCGACCCCACGGACTGGGCTCTGGCTCGGAGTAGCCTCTAGCTCGTCCATGGCATGCGCAACTTCTATCTGTGGCTTAGGGGCCTTGCGACTGGCATCAAGCTCCTCTCTTTCATAATTCTCTGTGGCGGTGGCCTCCTTCCAGGCTGAAGCAAGGGTAACCTCTTCTTTAGCCACGATGCGTCTTCTGGCTTTCTTGCTGCTCAGACCACCGATAAACCGATCC